AATTTAAAAAAAATGAAAAATCGAAACATCGAGATCTCGATAAATCGAGAAATCAAAATATTGATAAAACTGAAAAATCGAATAAATTAAATACCGCAAAAATTGTAGATAAAATAAAAAAATGTAAGATTTAAAAATTGATAATCGAAAAATTCCAAAACTGAAATATCGAAAAATTGGATCAGTCCAGAATTCGAAACTAAAAAATCGAAAAAAAAATTGAAAAATCGAAAGTCAGAGAAGTCCCAAAATTGAAACATACAAAAATTGAAAAATCCAGAAATAGAAAAATGCCTAAAATTAAAGTGTTGGAAACTTGAAGAATCGAAAGCTTGAAAATCGAAAAATCAAAACATTTTCAACAAAACCGAGAAGGACTGGAAAATTCGAAAATCGAAAAACTGAAATTAAAAATTGTAAAATTCAAAAATTAAAAAACGTAAATTTGGAGAAACGAAAAATTGAAAAACCGAGAAGTCGAAAAATTCCAAAACTGAAATGTAAAAAAATTGGGGAATCGAAAAATTGAAGAATCAAAAATCAAAACATCAAAAAGTTGGAAAATCGAAACATCGAAAAATCGAAACATCCAAAAATCGGAAACTCGAGAAGTCGAAAAGTTGAAAAATCGAAAAACCAAAATATTAAAATAAGTTTGAAAAATTGAAAAATTTAGATTTAGAAAAATGAAAATCGAAACATTTAAATCTCGAGAAACTTACTTATTATTATTCTTATTAATCGAGAAAACGAAAAATTTATAAAACCGAAAAATCGAAAAAATTAAAAACCGCAAAAACGGTAAATTTGAAAAATGTAGAATTAAAAATTGCAAGATTGAAAAATCGAGAAACGTGAAATAAAAAAAAAACGTGAAATCAAGAAATAGAAAAATCTAAAATTTAAGAAACAAAAAAATTTAAAACCGAAAAATCAAAATATAGAAAAATTTAATTGATTAATTGAAAAATCCCATAAGTCAAATATCGTGAAATTCATCAATCCATAATTCGAAAAACTGAAAAATAAAAAAAAAACTGAAAAATCCAGTAATGCAAAAATTTCCAAAATTAAAGTGTTCAAAAATTGGGAAATCTAAAGCTTGAAAAATCGAGAAATCAAAAAATTTCAAACACAACCGAGAAGTCGAGAATTGGAAAATTTGAAAAATCGAAAAACAGGAATATTAAAAAACTGGATATCGTAAAAACCAAACTTTGAAAAATCAAAATTGAAGAATCGGGAAATTGAAAATTCCCAGCACTGAAATCTAGAAAAATTGAAAAATCCAGAAACAGAATAACGTGTTGAAAAGTTGAAAAATCGAAAGCTTGAAAAATCGAGAAATCAAAAACTTTTGAACAAAACCGAGAAATGAAGGACTGGTAAATTCGAAAATCGAAAAACTGAAATATGTATTAAAAAATTAGAAAATTGTAAAATCCAAAAACTGAAAAACGGAAATTTGGAAAAACGAAAAATTGAAAAATCACAAAACTGAAATGTAGAAAAACTGAGAAATCGAAAAATTGAAAAATCAAAACATCAAAAAATTATAAAATCGAAAAATGAAAGACACCAAAAATCGAAAAATTACAAAATTGAAATTTTGAGAAATAGAAACATCAAAAGTTCGAGAAGTCGCAATCGAAAAGCCGAAATCTCGAAAAATTGGAAAATTGAAACGTTGAAATATCGAAATACCAAAGATCGAGAAATCAAAAAATCGAGAAGTCGAAAAATAGAAAAATTGAGAAATCGAAAAAGCTCAAAATCAAAAAATCGAAAAATTAAATTTTGAAAAATTACAAAATTTAAATAAAAAAAATTAAAAATCGAATAAATTAAAAACCGCAAAAATTGTACAGAAAATAAAAAATATAAGATTCAAAAATTGAAAAATCGAAAAATTTAAAATTTAAAGAATCAAAAGACTAAAAATCGAAAAATTAAAACATCGTAAAATTGAATTGGTAAAATGAAAAATTTCAAAACTCAAATATCGAAAAATTGATCACTCCAGAATTCGAAAAACTAAAAAATCGAAGGCCCAAAACTGAAACATCCAAAAACTGAAAAATCCAAAAATAGAAAAATGCCCAAAATTTGAAAAGTTGAAGAATCGAAAGCTTGAAAAATCGAGAAATCAAAAAATTTTAAACAAAACCGAGAAGTCAAGGACTGAAAAATGCGAAACTCGAAAAACTGAAATATTAAAAAATTAAAAATTATAAAATCCAAAAATTCAAAAACGGAAATTTGAAACAACGAAAAATTGAAAAAGCGAGAAATTGAAAAATCTCAAAACAGAAATGTACAAAAATTGGGAAATAGGAAAATTGAAAAATCAAAACATCGAATTGGAAAATTTTGAGAAATCGAAAAGTCGAAAATTCGAAAAATTGAAAAACCCAAAAATCAAAATATTAAAATAACTTAAAATTTAAATTTAGAAAAATGAAAAATCGAAACATCTAAATCTCGATAAATCGAGAAAAAGAAAAATTTATAAAACTGAAAAATCGAAACAAATTAAAAACCGCAAAAACGGTAAATTCGAAAAATGTAGATTTAAAAATAGCAAAATTGAAAATTCCAAAAATGGAAAAATTCTCAAAATTGAAGTGTTGTTTAAGGTGAGAAATCGAAAGCTTGAAAAATCGAGAAATCAAAAAATTTCAATCACAACCGAGAAGTCTAGAATTGGAAAATTTGAAAAATCGAAAATCTGGAATATTAAGAAATTAAAAATTGTAAAAACCATACTTTGAAAAATCGAAAAATGTAAATTTAAAAAAACAAACCAAAAATTGAGGAATCGAGAAATTGAAAAATCCCAAAACTGAAATGTAGAAAAATTGGTAAATCGAAAAATTGAAAAATCAAAACATCAAAAAGTTGGAAAATCGAAAAATCGAAAAACCAAAAAATCGAAAAATCGAAACATTGGGAAATCGAATCTTTGAGAAATCGAAACATCAAAAGATCGAGAAATCAAAAAGTCGAAAAGTCGGGCAATTGAAAAATAGAGACATATAAAACTCGAAAAATCGAAAAATTAAAATATAAAAAACCCAAAAATTAAGATTTAAATAAAAATCTAAAAATCGAAATCTCGATAAACCGAGAAATCGAAATATTGATAAAACTGAAAAATGTAATACATATTTTAAAAACAAAAGATTGAAAATTCGAAAACCTGAAAAATTCCAAAGCTGAAACATCCAAAAAACTGAAATACTAAAAAATTGAAAAACCGAGAAAACGAAAAGTCAAAAAATCGAGAAATTGAGAAATAGAAAAATCAAAAACTCGAAAAATCGATTTGTCAAAAAATAGAAAATTTAGAATCGCCAAAAATGTAAATATTGAAAAATAAAAAATCGAAGAATTGAAGAATCGAAAACCTGAAAAATCGTGAAACTGGAATATCAGAAAATAGAAAAATCGAAAAATAAAGAAATCAAGAAATCGAAATTTTGAAAAATCAGGAGACTGAAGAATGGGAACATTGAAAAATCCCAAAAATGAAATACCGAATTGGAAATCGAAAAAATGAAAAAACTAAAAAATACAAAAAAAGAGAGAAAATGAATCTTGAAAAATTTACAAATCAAAACAACTAAAAACCAAAAAATTGAAAATTCGAAATATTGAGCAAACGAAAAATTGTACAATTTTGATTTTTTTTAAATACTCGTATCTGGATTTCTAGGATGAAAAGTCAACACATAGTTTCATGTTACATTTCAACATTAAGTAACATTTATTCCATAAAATTGTAAGATGATACTGAAGAATGGATAAATTGAAAAATCAAGAAATTGAAACATCCCAATCGAAAAATCGAAATCTTAATAAATTCAGAAATCGAAATATTGATAAAACTGGTAAATCGAAAAGCGAGATTTTGAAAAATACATATAACATTTAAGAGATCAAAAATCAAAATACCAATTAATTGAAAAACTGATAAATTGAAAAATTCCAAAACAGAAATGTAGAAAAGTCGAAAATTTGAAAAATCGAAAAAAATGAAAAATTTGTAAATCGGGAAATCGAAAAGGAAATCAAAACTCAAATATCGAAAAACCAATCAACGCTAATCGAAAGTTTGGAAAATCTAAAAATTGAAAAATCGATTAAAAATTGAAGATTGAAAAGCTGAAAAATTCCAAAACTGAAACATTAAAAAATGAAAAAACTAAAAAATACAAAAAAAAGGAATTTAAACTTGATAAATTGAAAAATCGAAACATCGAGAAACCAAAAAAATAGAAAATTGGAAACATTGTACAGGATGAAAATTCAACGCATGGGTTCATCTGGATCTGTAGGGTAAAAACTTAACACGGATTCGTAGGAGTCATGAAACCTCGAGAAAACCTAAAAGTAGCCAGTCGGCCGTTGGACTCAATTACAGCACTTTCCTGATCTTACGCTCGGGAAGTAAAAGTTGGATTTAATTTGTTTCTAGAAGATTAAATTTTTATTTTCCAAAGCATTAATTTCAATAATTTGTATCTACTTGTTCGAACATTATTTCGAATTAATCGGGACGATTTTTGTAAACAGAGCACGATTAGATTGTTAAACTAATATTAAAAAGTGAACATGTCCGAGTAAACCGGACGATTGATAACTGTAACAAGCTCTCATAAATGATTCGTCCATCCAAGTGGGCACTGATTTGTTCCGCCTCCTTCGGAATGTGTAACCAACAATGGCAACGAAAGTGCAAGTGTCATAATAATTCCGACGCCTGACACATCAACCACACTTACTAAACCCTGAAAAACGTCTACCATTAGTAAGAAGTGGCAAACCCACCGCATTCATAAATTTCACCGGTCACTAGATCAATCAATTAATCATCCAACGCCGTCTTCGTCTGCCGAAAATACAACAATACCACCCATCCCAGTCCAGAACCACGTGCCGCTCGCCCCCTCCCCCCGATTCTCCCAATTAAGGCAAAAAACCCTACGCACACGCAACAGATGATCCTCCACCTCCTCCAGCCCGTGCGGGAGGGCCAATGGGAAGTGTCGGCGGTGCATGGGCGAAGCACGCGAAGGGACGAGGGGCGCAGCATCCCTACTGCCACAATCTTGGCACGCGTCAACATTGTAAATATAGAACAGCTAACGCGTTTCTTAAACTCAGTAAGCTCAAAGCCCCCAAAGCGCCACTTCGCCGCTCGATCTAGTGCGCGCCTATGTCAAACGCAACTGTCAAGACTGCCGCTGACAACGCTTGTCAAACACCGAGCCAGACCTGTGCCGACCTCGAAAAGGGGGGAAGTTCGACGTCGCGACGCCATGCCGAGGGCCTTCTTGATCACCCACCGCAGATACAACCCGGAAGACGCGGAACAAAAAGGTATTTTTGCGCGCAAAAAATTTGAGGTTAGGAATTGCGTTTTTTGGTTTTAGTTTTTTTTTTTGGTTTTTGGATTGGTAGTCGTGGGGGGAGCGGCGGGAGTGTGGTGGTGGCCGCAGACACTTGGCTATTTTGAGTGCGGTAATGAGGTGTTCGCGTCTGACGTAATTTTCTTCTCAAAATTCGAATCCGAAAGTGGCGGCCTGTCCGTAAACAACGAAGTTAGTAAAATAGATTTCCGGCGAAAGGTGCGATTGTTCGAAAAATTGTGGCTTTGGAGTGGTCTATGACACCACAAGTATTCACAGCGATTTTTTAAATGGAATGAAGACGTTGTCGATTTGCCAAGTTTGCAAAAATAACACCAAATTGTCGCAAAAAATATTTTAAACGGCTAAATAAAAATGTGTTTTTTCGTGAATGAACTGAAACTTGGCACTAAAATAAAATATCAACACAGTTATTAACATCTAATTTTTTCTAATTTATGTTTGGAATGAGTGTCAATAAAAAGTTAAATTTACCAAATCGTGAAGTCGAGTTCGCAATTTATGTATGAATTTTGACTAAAATATGGCTTTTGTGTGTCAATACGGATTTATATTGGAATATTTCGTTCAATGCCAACGGATGTAGTGTGCGTATTTTAAAACACTGACACATCCGCCTTTAAATCGAAGTCGGTCTTTCTAAAATTCAAAATTTTGCTCATTTTTCGTTGTGTCAAAAATGAATTAATTAAGTGTCCAGATTTTCGTTAACTTTCACACTATTTTTTACTTTCTGTCTGGAACTACTGGAGTGATTGTTGTCAAATTTTGTGCTTATATTAGGAATGTCATTTAAATGGTAAAACGCTGACCAAATTTGGCTCATCATCCCGACCACCAATGGGATGACGTCATATCCAAAATTTACAATAATAACACTACCTTTAAAGGTTATCATAAAAAAATTAAATTCGTAAAATCAAATCTTACAATTTTTCGAAAAACCTGGATTTATTTACCTACGATCAATTTTTTGATACCGCAATTTTTTTTTTGATTTTTCAATGTTTCAGTTTCATAATTTTTCACTTTTTCAATTTTAATTTTTTTAATTTCTCAATTCCAGATTTTTTAATTTTTCGATACCAGATTTTTACAATGTTCGATTTTTCACTTTCTCAATTTTTAAATTTTCGAATTTCACTTTTTCAAGTTGTTGATTTTTATTTTTCCTTTCTCGATTATTTAATTTTCCTTTTTGTTGATTTTATATCACAATTTTTGTTTTTTTCATTTTCTTTCATGTATCAATTTATCCATCTTTCAATATTTCGGCTCCAATTTTTCGTTTTTTCAGCTTAATGTTTTTCAATTTTTAATTTCTCAGTTTCCAGTTGTTTCAATTTTTCGTTTCTTCAATTTTGATTTCAAATTTCTCGATTTGTCAATTTGTGGATGTCACAATTTTTCATTTTGACTTTTCCAGTTTATCAACTTCTAATTTTTCGGTTTTTCCTCAGTTTTTCAAGTTCTTGATTTTTATTTTTCATTTTCCTGATTTTTTAAATTTAATTTTCTCCATTTCATATCACAGTTTTTCGTTTTTTCATTTCCTTTATTTCTTCAGTGTTTCACTGGATTTCATAAATTTACAGTTTTTTTATTTTAATTTTTTCAATTTCTCAAATTCCAGATTTTTTAATTTTTCGATTTGCAATTTTTCAGTTTTGGAGTTTTTCGATATCACAATTTTACGATGTTTCATATTTCAATTTCTCAATTTTTAATTTTTCGCATTTCATTTTTCCGTTTCCTCAATTTTTCAAGTTGTTGATTTTTATTTTTCATTTTCCTGATTTTTTTATTTTCATTTTCTTGATTTCATATCAGAGTTTTTCGTTTTTCATTTACTTTAATTTTTCAAATTATCCATCTTTCAATGTTTCGGCTTCAGTTTTTTGTTTTTTCAGCTTTAGTTTTTTCAGTCTTTCAATTTCTCAGCTTCCAGTTGTTTCAATTTTTTGATTCTTCAATTTTTATTTGAAATTTATCGATTTGTCAATTTGTGGATGTCACAATTTTTTATGTTTGACTTTTCCAGTTTATCAATTTTTAATTTTTCGGTTTTCAATTTTTCGTTTCCTCAACTTCTTAAGTTCTTGATTTTTATTTTTCATTTTCCTGATTTTTTAATTTTCATTTTCTCGATTTCATATCACAGTTTTTCGTTTTTTCATTTCCTTTATTTTTTCAATGTTTCATTCGATTTCATAATTTTTCACTTTTTTAATTTTAATTTTTTCAATTTCTCAAATTCCCGATTTTTGAATTTTTCGATTTGCAATTTTTCAATTTTGCAGTTTTTCGATATCACAATTTTACAATGTTTAATTTTTCAGTTTCTCAGTTTTTAAGTTTTCGAATTTCAATTTTTCGTTTGCTCAATTTTTCAAGTTCTTGATTTTTATTTTTCATTTTCCTGATTTTTCAATTTTCATTTTCTTGATTTCGTTTTTCATTTCCTTTAATTTTTCAATTTATCCATCTTTCAATATTTCGGCTTCAGTTTTTTGTTTTTTCAGCTTTACTTTTTCAATTTTTCAATTTCTCAGCTTCCAGTTTTTTCAATTTTTGGTTTCTTCAATTTTTATTTGAAATTTTTCGATGTCACAATTTTTCATTTTTGACTTTTCCAGTTTAACAATTTTAAATTTTTTGGTTTTTCAATTTTTCGTTTCCTCAGTTTTTCACGTTTTTGATTTTTATTTTTCATTTTCCTGCTTTTTTAATTTTAATTTTCTCGATTTCATTTCAGTTTTTCGTTTTCTCATTTTCTTTATTTTTTCATAATTTTTAAATTTTCAAATTTTGCAATTTTTGCATTTCTAGATTTTCCGATTTCTTTAATTTTCAATATTTCGATTTTACAATACATATTTCGTTTTTTCAATTTTGCACTTTTTCGATTTTTAAGTTTCCCAATTTTCAATATTTTCATTTTTGAATTTTTCGTTTCTTCAATTTTTCAAGTTTTTGATTTCCAATTTTTAGGTTTCACAAAGTTTTTGTTTTATATCTTTTCGTTTTTTCATTTTAGATTTTTCAATTTTACAACTTTGCAATTTTTCTTGGATTCGAAAAGTCGAAAAATCGAAAAATTAAAAATATAAAAATTAAGAAATTGGAAAAAAATTGAAAAATCAAAAAACTGAAATAATGAAAAATTGGAAAATCAAAGAATTCAAGAACGAAAAATTGAGTCACTGAAAAACCAAAAATCAAAAAAAATTAATGAATTGCAAAATTAGAAAATCCAAAAATTGAAAATTTGAAAAATTCAATATCAAGAAATTAAAAGATTAAAATCGAAACATTGAAAAATCGAATAATTGAACAAATTTTAAAATTCAATAATTGAAAAATGAAAAAATTCTAAAATTGTAAAACTGAAAAAGTGAAAAATTTTTAAAATTACAATTGTTAGAAGATACATATTTATAATGAAAACTAAATAAATTGCAAATCAAAAACTGAAGAAACTGAAAATGAAAAAAACAAATTGGAACATTGAAAATTCGAAAATTTGTAAAAATAAAAAAAATAAAAACCGAAACGAAAATTGCAAATGGAAAATTTGAAGAAATCGAAAAATTGAGAAGTAGAATAATTGAAAAATGAGAAAATTCAAAAATCGTAAGAAGTGAAATTTTTGAAAATTATTTTTATTATTGTTACAATATTTAAAATGAAAACTAGAAAAATTGCAAATTAAAATTTGAAGAAAAGGAAAATTGAAATTCACGAAACCGAAAAATTTTAAATTGAAAAAACGAACAATTAAAGAATCTAAAAATTTCAACTCGAAAAATTGAAAAATCCAAAAATTGAAAATTTTCACATAAAAAAAGACAAAAATTAAAAAATCTGAAAAATTGAAAAAATTATGAAAACAAAAACCGAAACGAGAAATTGCAATTCGAAAAATTGGAGACATACATGGAAAAGTTTAAAAATCGAAAAAATGAAAAATTTAAAAATGAAAACTCGAAGAGCCAAATTGAAGAAAATTTGAAAAACTGAAAAATTGCAAATTGAGCAATTGAAAAAATTGAAGTTGGAAAAACAAAAAATTATAAAAGCGAAACATTGAAAAATTGAATAATTGAATAAATAAAACTGAAACGAAAAATTGCAACATTAAAAATCATCCAAAATATGGAAAACTCGAAAACTAAAAAAATTAAAAATGAAAACTCGTAAAATTGAAAAAATTGAAATTGAAAAAATTTTTTATAAATATCGGAACATTGAAGAACGTAAAGTTGTAAAAATAAAGAAAATAAAAACCTACAAAATGAAAATATGAAGAAATAAAAAATTAAAGAATCGAAAAACTGAAAAATTTTAAATCGAAAACTCGCAAAATCTAAAAAATGAAGAAATAAAAAAATGAAAAAATTGAAGAATAGCAAATCGAACAATTGAAGAAATGAGTAACTGAAAAAAAATTACAACTGAAAAAACAAAAAATTATTAAATTCGAGATATTGAAAAATGAAATAATAAAAAAAACCGAATGAAAAATTGCAAAACGAAAAATTGATAAATCAAAAATTGAAAACTCGAGGAACTCAAATTGAAAAACTGCAAAGCCTAAAAATCGAAAATTTCAAAAGTTGGAAAATTGAAAACTGAAAAATTTAATGTTACAAACTCGAACAATTTCAAATCGAAAAACTGAAGAAACGAAAAAAATACAAAAAAAAAATGAAAAATTTCACATTAAAAAAAGAAAAATGATACAATTAGAAGAAATGAAAAATTGAAAACTCTAATAGTTGCATATCGTAAAATTGAAGAAAAAAAAAATAAAAACTGGGACACGGCAAAACAAAAAATTGAAGAAACGAAAAAATGAAAAAATTAAAATTATAAATTCGGAACATCAAAAAAGTGCAAAATCTACACATTTTCCCGTTGTGACTGAATTCTGACTGGATATTTATTTTTTTACTTTAGTATGTAGTCAAATTTAAAAAAATAAATAAAAATAATTTTTATAACTTTTCTTGCTGTGTTTGTAATGTCAGGATTAACTGTCATTCTAGAATTACCCCGATCTAACCTGCTTGGAGTTAAGCTATAATCATCCACATATAAAAGTTGATTACAAAAAAATTATTAGTCCCATTATGACGTAATTATCGTCTCTTAAAAATATCCAGGAAGGAGTATTTTCGCGGTTGTTTCTTGTTTGTGTAATATTTCATTTCTTGGCAGCGTCTAATAAATAGCCGAACCATGCAAACAATATTTTTAAAATTATCGTTGTATTTGTTCTGTATTTTTCGAAGATATTTTGTCTGAAAGATTTATTCTTGCCGCTTGGTTTCTTACGCATAATAGTTATAATTTGAAACTGGCATGCACATGTAAATATTGACGTCTTTCAATAAATCAAATAACGTTTCGCGATTCTGAACACTGCAAATCAAGAGGTTTCAAAATTATGTAGCGTCCTTCGTAAATTTCAAAAATCATAGATAATAAATTTTGAAAACTTCATTTTAGATTTTTTTCAGTTTTTTGGATTTTTTCACGTTTTCAGCGTGACACTTGCCTCACAAGTTTTGAATTTATTTGCCTTTAATCTCTATTTTCAGTGCGCTAACGAAGTGCTCACATCTGACGCAATTTGCCTCATAAAACCCGAATCACGTTTTTAAGGTCTTTAAATATATTATCGACCTAATTTCGGTATCACACCTCGCCAGGAGTTCGGTGCAGGTGTTTAATTGCAACATCAAAATATTTTCCCGGGAAATGTTTAAGAGTCTTATGGAATTATTGGGTGTGGAGGATATCATCAGGAACTGGCGCTGATGGGCCAGGAGCCCGTTGTTTACTGTTTTTCTGACTCCGTAAAATCGGTTGAATCGGGATTTTTCACTTCGTAGTGATGCTTATCTTGGCAAAGAGCGACCGAAATGAGTAAACAAAATGTCCAACGGTATTTTTGAGGAGATCCGTATTTTTGTCGAAGTTGCTGTTTTATTTACTGTTTTTGTTTATTCGATTACCTCACACGCGAGAACGATTTTAATCCGGCTCAAGAAGTGGAAACTCCCTCCCTAGTAAATACTTCCCCACCAAAATAAATTATACTTTTCCTCAGTTTATTCAACCATTCTCCGTGGCGGCGTGATTCATCATTTTAAAAATACGACTTTCGTGTTTATTTTCGAAACGTAAATGAATTTGTTCCTTCAAACACTGACCACATGGCCAAAATCTTGGAAGAGTCGTATAATATTGAGGGCCAGCTACTTGTTGTCGGTAATAACGACTTGTTGCGATTTGGCAAATTGCCGATCACACCTTACGGAGCCTCTACTTTTGGCCCAAATACTAGCAGTTTACAGCACGGATCACGTCATCTCCTGACGTCTTCGATTTAACAAGGAAATACGCCAAAAGGAACTGCCGGAACTGCGAATGACGCGGTTTTTTTATTCGTTGAAAATTCGAGTTGAGGATAGATTTTGCTGCAGATCTTAATTCGGAAAATGCCGTCAGCATAGCAGGCCTGCCCGAGCCCCACCTTTCCGAAAACAGCTCGGAATGCCCCGACGAGCTCTACAACTTGACCAAACTGGCCGAGGTGGCTGTGGCCACAGGCCAAATCCTCGAACAGCGAAGACTTTCGTCTTCGTCCTCGTCCAGCGAACCCACCTTCACCTACACCCACAAGCTCTTCGACAAGTCGTCGCGAGCCCCAAGACCCCACTTGCTAAAGGTAAAATCCTAAAATCCTTCTCATACGAACTTAACAATCTTCTGGATTGTTTCCAGACTGATGACTACGCCACCACCAGAAAGCTTCTTTGCAACCCGTCGCCTCCTGCAGTACCGCTGCCTCATAGTACCACCCAGGACTTGGCGTTGCAGTCGAGCGAAAGCAGCGAGCACGAGTGTAACGATTGCGGGAAAAGATATAGTACTTCTAGTAATTTGGCGCGTCATCGGCAAACCCATAGAAGTCCTGGGGATAAGAAGGCTAGAAGGTGTCCTCACTGCGACAAGCTCTACGTCAGCATGCCTGCGTTTTCGATGCATGTGAGGACCCACAATCAAGGTTGCAAGTGTCAGTATTGTGGCAAGTGTTTTTCGAGGCCGTGGTTGTTACAAGGACACATCAGGACTCATACAGGTAGGAACACGTTTTTAGGTCGCTCTAGACAATTTTGATATCTTCTAAAAATAGAATACGAATCGACTGTCAAGGTTTTGTTATCGAGGTGTATTATGCTGCTTCTAAAAATGAAGCCCAAGCCGAGCGTGAGATTTTTTGCGCTATTGAAACGTTTCGAGACCTTTTCGAGCTTTATCCTACTTGTAAATATGAAAACTAAATCGATTTTTTTTTTCAAATAGTGAAACGAATACCTGATTATTGAGATTTTTTCAATATGTGAAATTACCCTACTTCTAAAACCGATAGTAGAATTTTTTGTTAAGTAATTTCAGCAAGCTTTTAAAAATGAAAAATGAGTTGAAGCTGATTTCTTTTGTTAGTGAAGATAGTTGTAATAAACTACTTCTAAAAACGAAACACCAATTGACTCTCGAGATTTTTTCAACAAGTTGGTAAAATTCCACTACTTCTAAAATTGAAAATGAAAAATAAGTTGAAACCGATTTTTTGTCAGTAAAGCAAACAGCATTAAAGTACTTCTAAAATTGAAACACAAATCCACGATTCTTTTAAAGAGCTTCTGAAAATGAAGCATTGGTCGAACTGAGATTTTTTCAACAGCGAAGCGGACTATAACATATTTCTTCTAAAAATGAAGAACAAATAGACTCCTGAGATTCTTTCAACAAGCAAAACGAGCTTCATTATGCTTCTTCTAAAAATGAAACATGGAAGGATTTCTAGAATTCTTTTAACGAGCTTCTAAAACTGAAAAATCAGCCGGACTGGAAATTTTTTGAGCCACTGAAACGAGCTATAACTTATTCTTTCTTCTAATGACCAAAATGACTTATATTGTATTACTTCTAAATACAAAACACGATTTAATACCCAAGATTTTTTCAGCAAATTTTCCAAAAAAAAAAAAAAGGAAAAATCTACTGAACCTGTTTTTTTAAACCAGTGAAACGATCTGTGACATATTAATTACGTCCACAAACGACACGCGAATTGAAACTCGAGATTTTTTCAACAAGTAAAATTTTACTACTTCTAGAAATGAAAATAAAAAATAAGTTGAACTGCTTTTTTTTGGTAGTAAAGTAAGCTGCATTAAACTACTTCTAAAATTGAAACACAAATCCGCGATTCTTTCAAGCAGCTTCTAAAAATGAAACACGAGATTTCTTAGCAGCGGAGCGGACTGTAATGTGTATATTTCTTCTAAAAATGAAGCACAAATTGGCTCCTGATATTCTTTCACAAACAAATCGAGCTGCATTATGCTACTTCTAAAAATGAAACTTGGAAGGATGTCTAGAATTCTTTTAAGGAGGTTCTAGAACTCAAAAGCAGTCGATCCATAGATTTTTTTTAGCCACTCAATATGAGCTATAACTTATTCTTTCTTCTAATGATCGAAACGACTTACATTGCACTACTTCTAAAAACAAAATACGTTTTAATACCCAAGACTTTTTTCAGCAAATTTTCAAAAAATAAAAATAAAATCTACTGAACCTGTTTTTTTCAAACAGTGAAACCATCTGTGACATAATAATTATTTCTAAAAATGAAGCACGAATTGACTATCGAGATTTTTGAACAAGTAAAATTCCACTTTTTCTAGAAATGAAAATAAAACATAACTTCAACGGTTTTTTTTGTCAGTAAAATAAGCTGCATTAAACTACTTCTAAAATTGAAACACAAATCCGCAATTCTTTCAAGCAGCTTCTAAAAATGAAACATGAGATTTCTTAGCAGCGGAGCAGACTGTAATGTGTATATTTCTTCTAAAAATAATTTTTCCTGATATTCTTTCACCAATAAACCGAGTTGCATTATGCTACTTCTAAAAATGAAACATAGAAGGATGTCTAGAATTCTTTTAAGGAGCTTCTAAAACTCAAAAATCAGTCGAACCATAGATTTTTTCAGCCACTCAATATCAGCTATAACTGATTCTTTCTTCTAACGATCGAGACGACTTATGTTGCACTACTTCTAAAAACAAAATACGATTTAATACCCAAGATTTTTTTCAGCAAATTTTCAAAAAAAAAGAAAATTACTGAACTTGTTTTTTTTCAAACAGTGAAACCATCTGTGACATATTAATTACTTCTAAAAACGAAGCACGAATTGACTATCGAGATTTTTTCAACAAGTAAAATTCCACTACTTCTAGAAATGAAAATAAAAAATAAGTTGAACTGTTTTTTTTTGGTCAGTAAAGTAAGCTGCATTAAACTACTTCTAAAATTGAAACACAAATCCGCAATTCTTTCAAGCAGCTTCTTAAAATGAAACATGAAATTTCTTACAGTGGAACGGACTGTAATGTGTATATTCCTTCTAAAAATGAAGTACAAATTGGCTCCTGATATTCTTTCATCAACAAATCGAGTTTCATTATGCTACTTCTATAAATGAAACATGGAAGGATGTCTAGAATTCTTTTAAGGAGGTTCTAAAACTCAAAAGCAGTCGAACCATAGATTTTTTTTAGCCACTCAATATGAGCTATAACTTATTCTTTCTTCTAATGATCGAAATGACTTATATTGCACTACTTCCATAAACAAAATACGATTTAATACCCAAGATTTTTTTCAAGAAATTTTCAAAAAAAAAGAAAATCTGCTGAACCTGTTTTTTTCAAACAGTGAAACCATCTGTGACATACTAATTACTTCTAAAAACGAAGCACAAATTGACTATCGAGATTTTTTCAACAAGTAAAATTCCACTACTTCTAGAAATGAAACTAAGAAATAAGTTGAACTGTTTCTTTTTGTCAGTAAAGTAAGCTGCATTAAACTACTTCTAAAATTGAAACACAAATCCGCGATTCTTTCAAGCAGCTTCTAAAAATGAAACATGAGATTTCTTAGCAGTGCAGCGGACTGTAATGTGTATATTTCTTCTAAAAATGAAGCACAAATTGACTCCTGATATTCCTTCACGAACAAATCGCGTTGCATTATGCTACCTCTAAAAATGAAACATGGAAGAATGTCTTGAATTCTTTTAAGGAGCTTCTAAAACTGAAAAATCAGTCGAACCATAGATTTTTTTCAGCCACTCAAATTAGCTATAACTAATTCTTTCTTCTAATAACTAAACGAGTTATATTCTACTACTTCTAAATACAAAACACGATTTAATATCCAAGATTTTTTCAGCAAATTTTCCAAAAAAAAAAAGAAAAATCTACTGAACCTGTTATTTTTTTAACCAGTGAAACGATCTGTGACATATTAATTACTTCCACAAACGACACACGAATTGAAACTCGAGATTTTTTCAACAAGTTAAATTTTACTACTTCTAGAAATGAAAATAAAAATTAAGTTGACCTGTTTTTTTGTCAGTACAGTTAAGCTGCATTAAGCTACTTCTAAAATTGAAACACAAATCCGCGATTCTTTCAAGCAGCTTCTAAAAATGAAACATGGGTCGAATCTGAGATTTCTTCAGCAGTGGAGCGGACTGTAATGTGTATATTTCTTCTAAAAATGAAACACAAATTGACTCCTGATATTCTTTCACGAACAAATCGAGTTGCATTATACTACTTCTAAAAATGAAACATGGAAGGATGTCTAGAATTCTTTTAAGGAGCTTCTAAAACTGAAAAATCAGCCGAACTGGAGATTTTTTTCAGCCACTGAAACGAGCTATAACTTATTCTTTCTTCTAATCACCAAAATGACTTATATTGTACTACTTCGAAAAACAAAACACGATTGAATACCCAAGATTTTTTCAGCAAATTTTCAAATAAAGAAGGGAAGATCTACTGAACCTGTTTTTTTTTCAACCGGTGAAACGATCTGTGACATTAATTTCTTCTAAAAACGAAACATGATTTGGTTGTCGAGATTTGTTCTACAAGTAAAATTCCACTACTTCTAGAAATAAAAATCAAAAATAAATCGAAACCGATTTTTTTGTCAGTAAAGCAAACGGCATTAAAGTACTTCTAAAATTGAAACACAAATACGCTTTTCTTTCAAAGAGCTTCTAAAAGTGAAGCATTGGTCGAACTGAGATTTTTTTCAACAGTGAAGCGACTGTAACATATTTCTTCTAAAAATGAAGAACAAATCGACTCCTGAGATTCTTTCAACAAGCAAAACGAGTTTCATCATGCTACTTCTAAAAATGAAACATGGAAGGATTTCTAGAGTTCTTTTAACGAGCTTCTAAAACTGAAAAATCAACCGAACTGGAGTTTTTTTTCAGCCATTGAAACGAGCTATAACTTATTCTTTCTTCTAATGACCAAAACGACTTATATTCTGCTACTTCTAAATGCAAAACACGATTTAATTCCCAAGATTTTATCAACAAATTTTCCAAAAAAAAAAGGAAAAATCGACTGAACCTCTTTTTTTTTAATCAGTCTATGACATATTAATTACTTCTAAAAACGAAACACGAATTGACTCTCGAGATTTTTCAGCAAGTGAAATTCCACTACTTCTAGAAATGAAAATAAAAAATTAGTTGAACCAGATTTTTTTTGTCAGTAGAACAATCTACATTAAACTACTTCTAAAATTGAAACACAAATCCGCGATTGTTTCAAGGAGCTTCTAAAAATGAAACATGGCTTCAATCTGAGATTTTTTCAGCAGTGATTTGGACTGTAATATATATATATACATATTTTTTCTAAAAATGAAGAAGAAATCGACTCCTGAGATTCTTTCAACGAGCACAACGAGTTGCATTATGCTATTTCTGAAAATGAAACATGGAACGATTTCTAGAATTCTTTTAACGAGCTTCTAAAACTGGAAAATCAGCCGAACTGGAGATTTTTTCAGCCACTGAAACGAGCTATAACTTATTCTTTCTTCTAATGACCAAAACGACTTATATTCTGCTACTTCTAAATGCAAAACACGATTTAATACTCAAGATTTTATCAGCAAATTTTCCAAAAAAAAAAAGGAAAAATCGACTGAACTTCTTTTTTTTTAATCAGTCTATGACATATTAATTACTTCTAAAAACGAAACACGAATTGACTCTCGAGATTTTTTCAGCAAGTGAAATTCCACTACTTCTAGAAATTAAAATAAAAAATAAGTCGAACCAGATTTTTTTTTGTCAGTAGAACAATCCACATTAAACTACTTCTAAAATTGAAACACAAATCCGCTATTGTCTCAAGGAGCTTCTAAAAATGAAACATGGCTTCAATCTGAGATTTTTTCAGCAGTGATTTGGACTGTAATATATATATACATATTTTTTCTAAAAATGAAGAAGAAATCGACTCCTGAGATTCTTTCAACGAGCACAACGAGTTGCATTATGCTACTTCTAAAAATGAAATATGGAAGGATTTCTAGAATTCTTTTAGCGAGCTTCTAAATCTGAAAAATCAGCCGATCTGGAGATTTTTTCAGCCACTGAAACGAGCTATAACTTATTCTTTCTTCTAATAACCAAAACGACTTATATTCTGCTACTTCTAAATGCAAAACACGATTTAATAGACAAGATTTTACCAGCAAATTTTCCAAAAAAAAAAGGAAAAATCGACTGAACCTCGTTTTTTTTAATCAGTCTATGACATATTAATTACTTCTAAAAAGGATATCTGGAAATATTTTGACGAGTTTCTAAAACTGAAAAATTAGTGGAACTGGAGATTTTTTCAGCCACTGAAACGAGCTATAACTTATTCTTTCTTCTAATGACCAAAATGACTTATACTGTATTACTTCTAAAGACAAAACACGATTTAACACTTAAGATTTTTTCAACAAATTTAAAAAAAAAAAGGAAAAATCTACTGAACTTTTTTTTTTTCAACCAGTGAAACCATCTGTGACATATTAATTACTACTAAAAACGAAGCACGAATTGACTATCGAGATTTTTTTCAACTCCGCGATTCTTACAAGGAGCTTCTAAAAATGAAATATGGGTCAAAATCCTCATTTCTCTACAAGAAATTACCACATGAAATATGTTTTTAAAAGGGTAGAATTTTTTAGAGAAATATTGATGTTACAATTAAACCCCCCCCCTTGGGTCTGATTAGGAATGAAGAACTCATCACAACTGAGATCGTGGCGGGTGGGTGGGGCTTAATTTTTGTTGTTTTTTTTATACATATACAGAGTTTTCTTTCAATAACTGGACAGTTAAACATATTGTCACTTGTTTTTGGGAAAACACGACTTCGTATATTAAGAAAAAATAGACCAAATATAAGCCCCGCCCACCCATCCCCTCTCAATTGTGGTGAATGCTTTATTCATCGAGAGATAAAGGATGGAGCTTAGTTGCAAAATCCTCATTTCTCCACAAGAAATTATCATATGAAATATGTTTTTACAAAAGTAGAATTTACAATTAAACTCCGCCCCTCGTCTGATTAAAAATGAAAAGCTCATCACAATTGAGATCGGGGCGGGTGGGTGGGGCTTAATTTTAGTTGTTTTTTTTTAATGTATAGGGTTTTTTTTCAACAACAGGACAGTTAAACATATTGCCAGTTTCTTTTTGGGAAAACACGACTTCGTATATTAAGAAAAAATAGACCAAATATAAGCCCCGCCCACCCACCCCTTCTCAATTGTGATGAATGCTTTATTGATCGTGAGCTAAAGGGCGAAGTTTAGTTGCAAAATCCTCATTTCTCTACAAGAAATTACCACAAGAAATATGTTTTTACAATAGTAACATTTACAATTAAACTCCGCTCCTCGTCTGATTAGAAATGAAAAGCTCATCACAATTGAGATCGGGGCGGGTGGGTGGGGCTTAATTTTTGTTGCTTTTTTTTAATGTATAGAGTTTTCTTTCAACAACAGGATATTTAGACATGTTTTTAGTTTCTTGTTGGGAAAAGAAGACTTCGTATATTAAGAAAAAATAGACCAAATATAAGCCCCGCCCACCCACCCCCTCTCAATTGTGATGAATGCTTTATCGATCGTGAACTGAAGGGCGGAGTTTAGTTGCAAAATCCTCATTTCTCCACAAGAAATTATCATATGAAATATGTTTTTAAAAAGGTAGAATTTACAATTAAACTCCGCCCCTCGTCTGATTAGAAATGAAAAGCTCATCACAATTGAGATCGGGGCGGGTGGGTGGGGCTTAATTTTTGTTGATTTTTTTTATATATAGAGTTTTCTTTCAACAACAGGACAGTTAAATATATTATCAGTTTTTTTTGGGAAAACACGACTTCATATATTAAGAAAAAATAGACCAAATGTAAGCCCCGCCCACCCTCCCCCTCTCAATTGTGATGAATGCTTTATTCATCGTGAGCTGAAGGGCGGAGTTTAGTTGCAAAATCCTGATTTCTCCACAAGAAATTATCATATGAAATATGTTTTTAAAAGGATAGAATTTACAATTAAACTCCGCCCCTCGTCTGATTAGAAATGGAAAGCTCGTCACAATTGAGATCGGGGCGGGTGGGTGGGGCTTAATTGTTGTTTTTTTTTTTAATGTATAGAGTTTTCTTTCAAAAGTATGATTTATTGCTGGGATAATTTCAGCGAGCTTTTAACAATGAGAAATAAGTTGAACTTGATTTTTTGTCAGTGAAGCACGCTGCTAAATTGAAACACAAATCCGTGATTCTTTCAAGGAATTCGCATTATACTACTTCTAAAAATGAAACACAAATCTGCTCTGAGATTCTTTCAACGAGCTTCTATTTAAAAATGAAACACGCGTCAAAATGGCGAACAAATCTGGAGTTTTTTCAGCCACTGAAACGAGCTGTAACTCATTCTTCTAATGGTCAAAACGGGTTATTTTGCAGTACTTCTAAAAACGAAAGACGAATTAACTCCTAAGATTTTTTTAGCGAACATTTAAAAATGAAAAATGAGTTGAACCCGTTTTTTTTTATTCTAAAATAAAACACGAATTGACTTTCGAGATTGTTTTCAATATGCAAAGTTAGGCTACTTCTAAAGACAGAAGTAGAGAATTTATGGCTGAAGTAATTTCAGCGAGCTTTTAATAATGCAAGATTAGTTCGACCTGATTATTTTATCAACAAAGCAAGCTGAAATGACTACTTCTAAATTTCTTCTAGAAATGTAGGACAAATGGCCTCCTAAAATTTTTTCGATTAGTAAAACGAAGTATATCACATTACTTCTAAAAATAGAATATGTGCCGAGTCCCGATATTCTTTCAGCGAGCTTCTGAAATGAAACTTGAACTGATTTTTTCAACCAGCGAAGGAAACTAACCGTAACGCGTTTCTTCTAAAAATGAAACTCAAATCAAGCTGCAACGTGCTACTTCTACGAACGAAACACCACTTAACTTCTAGATATTTTTTAACGAACGAATTGAACAAAATTGTGACACTGGAGTTATTGTCCAGAAAAAAAAATAGATAAAAGGTGAAACATAAATTAAACAATGTTTATCGAAATTCAAAAAATAGTAACAATAAAATATTAATAAATCTTTCTTTGTTTGGGAGATCAGCCAAGATAAATTTGTGTATAATAATGGCAAAAACATCTGAGAATCGTAGATACTATCTGCTTTATTTGTTTTAGTTGGCATAGGAATGTAACGTAAGTGATGACAGCAAAATTTTTCTCACTGTATCATCCATGGTGGTGTCTATAACCTTTATCTTCACCCAAAACACAACAAAAAGCTTAAAATTCCGATTTTTTGCCAAAAATGACCTCAAATTGTTGATCTTTCAACTGACCTCATCTTCTGTTCCAGGCGAGAAACCCTTCAAGTGCACCATCTGCAATAAAGCCTTCGCCGACAAGTCCAACCTGCGCGCCCACATCCAGACCCACTCCAACACCAAGCCCCACATCTGCGGTCGCTGCGGCAAGGCCTTCGCCCTCAAGTCCTACCTCTACAAGCACGAGGAGTCCTCCTGCATGCGCATCAACGGGCGCCACTCCTCCCGCGAGGCCACCCCCGACAAGAGCCTCGCCTCCCCCACCCCCGTGATCGTGCCCGGCCCCCGGATCGCCGACAGCGTCATCAAGAGCCCCGAGCGGCCCCTCATCTACCGCTCCACGGTCATCTCGCCCAACCCCGAGCGCCTGCTCTGCTCCACCATCAAGCATCCCTCCGTCATCCTCAACACCACCCGCTTCGGCACCACCATCAGCCAGATCTTCCAGGACCAGCCCATGGACTTCTCGGCTCAGAGGCGGGACTACGGGGGCTCGGAGCGGGGCGGCGGCTACGGGCTGGGGCTGGCCATCGCGGTCTAGGTTAAGTTAGGTTATTCCGTTTAGGGACCAGAGTGCCTTTGATACGTATCTGTGAATTTTGTGCCATGTTTGTAGAAGCTATTTGGTGCTACTTTCGCCCTAGAGGCAGCTTGTGCCTAGTTTTGTATATATCGTATTGGTTTGCGTAGATCTAGATGTGTGGAAGTACTATTAGCCGATAATTTTTTTTTTCTTTTGAAATAGACAGAGTGTCTCTAGTCTTGGACGCGGCTCGCAGGACCAAGTCCAGCGGGGCGCGGGGTCGCTTTAAATTTTAAGTTATTTATTTCTACTAACAGGATTTTAGTTTTAGTTTGCTGTATCGGCTAATGATATAGTTTCCTAGTCACTATTCATTAATCTAAGTTATAATATCGTTATGGTTTTAGTCGGCTGTTAGGACCAAGGTGGTTTCCCGGGTTTGGGGACCATTTGGTGTGCAATCAGTGGCCACAAGTGCAATATTATTAGTGATAAGTATGTACTTAATCGTATTATTTATTTGTGTGACGAAGTGTAGTAGTTGTCCATGTCATGTTATGAGAAATTCATTCCCTGCTGGTTCTAGAAGTTGTCATTCCCGTAGCAGTTGATGCTTTGGTACGGTTGTTCTGTGAAATTCGTTTTCTTACTTTGTGTACTTTTATACAGACATTTTTTGTAATAAATAAAGAAGTGTTCGTATTAAGGTGTTTTCTTTTAGAGAGTTTGAAATTTAGTAAAATTTCGAAAATTTCGTCGAAAATTGGTGGGTAAATTGCATTAAATCTATATTTCAAAGGGCGATTCTGGGAAATCCAATCGAGTTATCGAAGAATTGTTTGCGGAACTGACTTCTACGGCCCGAAATATACAAGAACATGTATTTTGTAAAATTTCGAAAATTTGGATGAGAATTGGTGGAAAATTGGTCGGTTAATTGCATTAAATCTATATTTCAAAGGGCGATTCTGGGAAAACCAATCGAGTTATCGAAGAAGTGTTTGCGGAAATGACTTCTACGGCCCGAAATCTACAAGAAATTGTATTTTTCAAATTTTCGAAAATTTTGATGAAAATTGGTGGAAAATTGGTGTGTAAATTGCATTAAATCTATATTTCAAAGGGCGATTCTGGGAAAACCAATCGAGTTATCGAAGAAGTGTTTGCGGAAATGACTTCTACGGCCCGAAATCTACAAGAAAATGTATTTTGTAAAATTTCGAAAATTTTGATGAAAATTGGTGGAAAATTGGTGGGTAAATTGCATTAAATCTAAATTTCAAAGGGCGATTCTGGGAAAACCAATCGAGTTATCGAAGAAGTGTTTGCGGAAATGACTTCTACGGCCCGAAATCTACAAGAAAATGTATTTTTCAAAATTTCGAAAATTTTGATGAAAATTGGTGGAAAATGGGTGGGTAAATTGCATTAAATCTATATTTCAAAGGGCGATTCTGGGAAAACCAATCGAGTTATCGAAGAACTGTTTGCGGAAATGACTTCTACGGCCCGGAATCTACAAGAAAATGTATTTTTCAAAATTTCGAAAATTTTGATGAAAATTGGTGGAAAATTGGTGGGTAAATTGAATTAAATCTATATTTCAAAGGGCGATTCTGGGAAAACCAATCGAGTTATCGAAGAAGTGTTTGCGGAAATGACTTCTACGGCCCGAAATCTACAAGAAAATGTATTTTTCAAAATTTCGAAAATTTTGATGAAAATTGGTGGAAAATGGGTGGGTAAATTGCATTAAATCTATATTTCAAAGGGCGATTCTGGGAAAACCAATCGAGTTATCGAAGAACTGTTTGCGGAAATGACTTCTACGGCCCGGAATCTACAAGAAAATGTATTTTTCAAAATTTCGAAAATTTTGATGAAAATTGGTGGAAAATTGGTGGGTAAATTGAATTAAATCTATATTTCAAAGGGCGATTCTGGGAAAACCAATCGGGTTATCGAAGAAGTGTTTGCGGAAATGACTTCTACGGCCCGAAATCTACAAGAAAATGTATTTTGTAAAATTTCGAAAATTTTGATGAAAATTGGTGGAAAATTGGTGGGTAAATTGCATTAAATCTAAATTTCAAAGGGCGATTCTGGGAAAACCAATCGAGTTATCGAAGAAGTGTTTGCGGAAATGACTTCTACGGCCCGAAATCTACAAGAAAATGTATTTTTCAAAATTTCGAAAATTTTGATGAAAATTGGTGGAAAATTGGTGGGTAAATTGCATTAAATCTAAATTTCAAAGGGCGATTCTGGGAAAACCAATCGAGTTATCGAAGAAGTGTTTGCGGAAATGACTTCTACGGCCCGAAATCTACAAGAAAATGTATTTTTCAAAATTTCGAAAATTTTGATGAAAATTGGTGGAAAATTGGTGGGTAAATTGCATTAAATCTAAATTTCAAAGGGCGATTCTGGGAAAACCAATCGAGTTATCGAAGAAGTGTTTGCGGAAATGACTTCTACGGCCCGAAATCTACAAGAAAATGTGTTTTTCAAAATTTCGAAAATTTTGATGAAAATTGGTGGAAAATGGGTGGGTAAATTGCATTAAATCTATATTTCAAAGGGCGATTCTGGGAAAACCAATCGAGTTATCGAAGAACTGTTTGCGGAAATGACTTCTACGGCCCGGAATCTACAAGAAAATGTATTTTTCAAAATTTCGAAAATTTTGATGAAAATTGGTGGAAAATTGGTGGGTAAATTGCATTAAATCTATATTTCAAAGGGCGATTCTGGGAAAACCAATCGGGTTATCGAAGAAGTGTTTGCGGAAATGACTTCTACGGCCCGAAATCTACAAGAAAATGTATTTTGTAAAATTTCGAAAATTTTGATGAAAATTGGTGGAAAATTGGTGGGTAAATTGCATTAAATCTAAATTTCAAAGGGCGATTCTGGGAAAACCAATCGAGTTATCGAAGAAGTGTTTGCGGAAATGACTTCTACGGCCCGAAATCTACAAGAAAATGTATTTTTCAAAATTTCGAAAATTTTGATGAAAATTGGTGGAAAATTGGTGGGTAAATTGCATTAAATCTAAATTTCAAAGGGCGATTCTGGGAAAACCAATCGAGTTATCGAAGAAGTGTTTGCGGAAATGACTTCTACGGCCCGAAATCTACAAGAAAATGTATTTTTCAAAATTTCGAAAATTTTGATGAAAATTGGTGGAAAATTGGTGGGTAAATTGCATTAAATCTATATTTCAAAGGGCGATTCTGGGAAAACCAATCGAGTTATCGAAGAAGTGTTTGCGGAAATGACTTCTACGGCCCGAAATCTACAAGAAAATGTATTTTGTAAAATTTCGAAAATTTTGATGAAAATTGGTGGAAAATTGGTGGGTAAATTGCATTAAATCTATATTTCAAAGGGCGATTCTGGGAAAACCAATCGAGTTATCGAAGAACTGTTTGCGGAAATGACTTCTATGGCCCGAAATCTAGAAGAAAATGTATTTTGAAAAATTTCGAAAATTTTGATGAAAATTGGTGGAAAATTGTTGGGTAAATTGCATGAAATCTATATTTCAAAGGGCGATTCTGGGAAAACCAATAGAGTTAGCGAAAAACTGTTTGCGGAAGTGACTTCTACGGCCCGAAATCTACAAGAAAATGTATTTTGTAAAATTTCGAAAATTTTGATGAAAATTTTGGTGAAAATTGGTGGAAAATTGTTGGGTAAATTGCATTAAATCAATATTTCATCGGGCGATTCTGGGAAAACCAATCGAGTTATCGAAGAACTGTTTGCGAAAGTGATTTCTACGGCCCGAAATCTACAAGAAAATCTATTTTGCAAAATTTCGAAAATTTTGATGAAATTTGGTGGAAAATTGGTGGGTAAATTGCATTAAATCTATACTTCAAAGGGCGATTCTGGGAAAACGAATCGAGTTATCGAAGAACTGTTTGCGGAAATGACATCTACGGCCCGAAATCTACAAGAAAATATATTTTTCAAAATTTCGAAAATTTTGATGAAAATTGGTGGAAAATTGGTGGGTAAATTGCATTAAATCTAAATTTCAAAGAGTGATCCGGGGAAAACCAATCGAGTAATCGAAGAACTGTTTGCGGAAATGACTTGTACGGCCCGAAATCTACAAGAAAATGTATTTTGCAAAATTTCGAAAATTTTGATGAAAATTGGTGGAAAATTGGTGGGTAAATTGCATTTAATCTATAATTCAAAGGGCGATTCTGGGAAACCCAATCGAGTTATCGAAGAACTGTTTGCGGAAGTGACTTCTGCGGCCCGATATCTACGAGAAAATATATTTTGCAAAATTTCGAAAATTTTGATGAAAATTGGTGGAAAATTGGTGGGTAAATTGCATTAAATCTGTATTTCAAAGGGCGATTCTGGGAAAACCAATCGAGTTATCGAAGAACTGTTTGCGGAAATGACTTCTACGGCTCGAACTCTACAAGAAAATGTATTTTGTAAAATTTCGAAAATTTTGATGAAAATTGGTGGAAAATTGGTGGGTAAATTGCATTAAATCTAAATTTCAAAGGGCGATTCTGGGAAAACCAATCGAGTTATCGAAGAACTGTTTGCGGAAATGACTTCTACGGCCCGAAATCTACAAGAAAATGTATTTTGTAAAATTTCGAAAATTTTGATGAAAATTGGTGGAAAATTGGTGGGTAAATTGCATTAAATCTAAATTTCAAAGGGCGATTCTGGGAAAACCAATCGAGTTATCGAAGAACTGTTTGCGGAAATGACTTCTACGGCCCGAAATCTACAAGAAAATGTATTTTGTAAAATTTCGAAAATTTTGATGAAAATTGGTGGAAAATTGGTGGGTAAATTGCATTAAATCTATATTTCAAAGGGCGATTTTGGGAAAACCAATCGAGTTATCGAAGAACTGTTTGCGGAAATGACTTCTACGGCCCGAAATCTACAAGAAAATGTATTTTGCAAAATTTCGAAAATTTTGATGAAAATTGGTGGAAAATTGGTCGGTAAATTGCATTTAATCTATAATTCAAAGGGCGATTCTGGGAAACCCAATCGAGTTATCGAAGAACTGTTTGCGGAAGTGACTTCTACGGCCCGAAATCTACAAGAAAATGTATTTTGTAAAATTTCGAAAATTTTGATGAAAATTGGTGGAAAATTGGTGGGTAAATTGCATTAAATCTATATTTCAAAGGGCGATTCTGGGAAAACCAATCGAGTTATCGAAGAAATGTTTGCGGAAGTGACTTCCACGGCCCGAAATCTACAAGAAAATGTATTTGGCAAAATTTCGAAAATTTTGATGAAAATTGGTGGAAAATTGGTGGGTAAATTGCATTAAATCTATATTTCAAAGGGCGATTCTGGGAAAACCAATCGAGTTATCGAAGAACTGTTTGCGGAAATGACTTCTACGGCCCGAAATCCAGAAGAAAATGTATTTTGTAAAATTTCGAAAATTTTGATGAAAATTGGTGGAAAATTGGTGGGTAAATTGCATTAAATCTATATTTCAAAGGGCGATTCTGGGAAAACCAATCGAGTTATCTAAGGACTGTTTGCGGAAGTGACTTCTACGGCCCGAAATCTACAAGAAAATGTATTTTGTAAAATTTCGAAAATTTTGATGAAAATTGGTGGAAAATTGGTGGGTAAATTGCATTAAATCTATATTTCAAATGGCGATTTTGGGAAAACCTAATCGAGTTATCGAGAACTGTTTGCGGAAGTGACTTCTACGGCCCGAAATCCACAAGAAAATGTATTTTGTAAAATTTCGAAAATTTTGATGAAAATTGGTGGAAAATTGGTGGGTAAATTGCATTAAATCTATATTTCAAAGGGCGATTCTGGGAAAACCAATCGAGTTATCGAAGAAATGTTTGCGGAAGTGACTTCCACGGCCCGAAATCTACAAGAAAATGTATTTGGCAAAATTTCGAAAATTTTGATGAAAATTGGTGGAAAATTGGTGGGTAAATTGCATTAAATCTATATTTCAAAGGGCGATTCTGGGAAAACCAATCGAGTTATCGAAGAACTGTTTGCGGAAATGACTTCTACGGCCCGAAATCCACAAGAAAATGTATTTTGTAAAATTTCGAAAATTTTGATGAAAATTGGTGGAAACTTGGTGGGTAAATTGCATTAAATCTATTTTTCAAAGGGCGATTCTGGGAAAACCAATCGAGTTATCGAAGAACTGTTTGCGGAAATGACTTCTACGGCCCGAAATCCACAAGAAAATGAATTTTGTAAAATTTCGAAAATTTTGATGAAAATTGGTGGAAAATTGGTGGGTAAATTGCATTAAATCTATATTTCAAAGGGCGATTCTGGGAAAACCAATCGAGTTATCGAAGAACTGTTTGCGGAAATGACTTCTACGGCCCGAAATCCAGAAGAAAATGTATTTTGTAAAATTTCGAAAATTTTGATGAAAATTGGTGGAAAATTGGTGGGTAAATTGCATTAAATCTATATTTCAAATGGCGATTCTGGGAAAACCAATCGAGTTATCGAAGAACTGTTTGCGGAAATGACTTCTACGGCCCGAAATCCACAAGAAAATGTATTTTGTAAAATTTCGAAAATTTTGATGAAAATTGGTGGAAAATTGGTGGGTAAATTGCATTAAATCTATATTTCAAAGGGCGATTCTGGAAAAACCAATCGAGTTATCGAAGAACTGTTTACGGAAGTGACTTCTACGGCCCGAAATCTACAAGAAAATGTATTTTGCAAAATTTCGAAAATTTTGATGAAAATTGGTGGAAAATTGTTCCGTAAATTGCATTAAATCTTTATTATTATTTCGCTATTCCCACATGTACGTAAGGTTTTAAATTTTCTGTTGTCTCGAAACTATTCTTGTTTACACTTATTTACAACCAGAAACCTGAACTGCATAATTGCATAATACTTAGTCACAGTTCATAAATAGTGATTTATTTTAGGTCAGATTTAATAAATCCCGTCCTGTTATTAAGACTGACGTTGATTATGATTGTTAATTTATGGATTCCGGTCGTACTTCTACATGTGCTAACCGCGCACACCCACGATACAGCGCGTCCCAAAAAATCCCCAACCCGAAAAACCCTAATTCTCGCCCCAAAACCCCGTTTTTACGAATCCAAGCCGAGATAATTTCCAGCAGAAGTGCATAAAATTCCTCGTGCTTGTAAACAAATATCTGACACTATTTTATTACCCAACACACAGTGCACCAAACCATTGCTGTACATAGTCTCGAGCGATGCCAAGATCAGATTACATTTTGATGAGTGATTTAATTTTTGTATAAGTTGTTGCTTGTTTTGTATATAAATGAGATGAAATGAACTATATTCGAGTGCGATATCTTCTAGGGGACACCATGTCAAGGGTCACTCATAACCAGGAATAGATTCAGCATTTAATGATAGGCCAGCTGATGGTCATTTACTCCATGGCGCGCTTAATTTTGATTTGTGTCATAGTGGGTGCTCAGACTTGTGCCGTTTTTGCCCAGGATGGGGTGAGTTTTCATACAAACATTTAACCCATTGGGTGTGAATAAAGTCACTTTTATCGGAAGGTGACTTGTCGGGTGTAGCACGACCATTCAGGTACCATTTTCGAAAAATTGTCAAAAACCAGAAGTCAAAAAATTCCACCAGGTTGCTAATCGGTGTGTTTTTTAATACAAGCGAGTGTTATCTTAATTTAAAAAAGTTATCACTAAATGTTTGACTGATTTTTGTTGCTAGTCAGTTTTTTTGAGTCGAACAAACCAAAATTCTAACTTGTGTCTTTTTCGTTTTTGTTTTTTTGTTTTTTTTTTTTAAGACAATGCACTCTGCATTGTTCTTTTATCAGATAACCCAGTCTTCCTTCACGGAAACGAAATTTTATTTTGTCATCCACTTATCAACTTCTTGTACAATTTGGGGTCAATAATTCTAGGACACGTTTGATAAACGGTTTTTTAACGCTCATTTCTTTGTAGGTTGTCTCCAATGCCGAAGACCCGTCCCAACTCAACTCCATACACAAAGCCAGCTCAAAATCGCGGACTTTGTTTGATTATCAAACCGTAAGAACCGCCGCTTCCGCAAGCCAAATTTAACCCGATTTTTCAGCGAGTGGTGGCCTACAAGGACCTGATCGAGTCGCGATGTTTACTTGGGTTCATAAAGGGAGGGGAGAGCTTCGTCGGGCAATTTTCCGACACCTCCACGATGGAAAACCTGACCAAGAACTTCCTCATGGCCGAAAACCAGCTGTCCAAACGACAAGTAAATCTATGCGAAAAGTTGAACACTCTGTATAATCACACAGTTTTAGATTCTCACGATTGGAGGATCCAGAATTGTGGAATTCTGTCGCGGCTTTCCCACTTTTCTCATCCACGAGCTGTCCAGCGACCATCAAAACAGCATCGTGCCGGAATTCGAATCTGAAGGTGGCGCGACACGGGCGAAACGTTCCACGAGCCACTTTTTCGTGGGGAGGGTGAGGGGGCAAACGCAGTCCCAGTACTTGAATTTTGGAAATAGTAAAGACCCGGGGAAAGCTGAAGCTGAGTCTTCGTACGGAAGCTCGAAGGCTGTAGTCAGTAAGACTTTTTCTCTTTAGTTTGACTTGTTTTAACCTTGGTTTGACAGGTGGTAGTAGTGGAATGGGGCAGGCCCAAAGCCAAAGTATCCCAGTTGGGTGTGACGACTGCTATGGGCAAGATCAAGGTTTACAATATGGGAGAACTAACGGGCACTTGGAGTATCCTGGGGCTCAGTATCAAAGGCCAGGACGACCGGGATACCCAAACGGAGGGGTGGATCATCCAGGTTATCCGAGTGTACGCCCTGGAGAGAAACCTGGCTATCCCAATGGGCACCCTAACGGGAAACCAGCACATACTGGATATCCTGACGGAGGTGCCGGAGGAAGACCGCAACCTGGATATCCTGACGGAGGTGCCGGAGGGAGACCGCAACCTGGATATCCTAACGGTGGTGCCGGAGGGAGACCGCAACCTGGATATCCCGAGGGAGGTAACGGGGGCAGACCCACAGGACCGCAAGTCCCAACACAACCTGAGTATCCTGAAGGACGCCTCAATGGGAGACCAACGGGACCACAGATACCTGGATATCCTAACGGAGGTACCGGAGAGGGACCGCACGTTCCAACACAACCTGAGTATCCTGAAGGACGCCCCAATGGAAGACCAACAGGACCACAACAACCTGGATATCCTGAGGGAGGTACTGGACCCGCCGGACCGCACGCGCCAACACAACCGGTGTATCACAATGGACGTCCCAATGGAAGAGTACCTGGATATCCCGAGGGAGAAAGACCCACAGGACCACAAGTGCCAACACAACCAGAATATCCCGAAGGAGGTGCCGGAGGGACCCCCACTGGAACACTACCTGGATATCCTATCAACGGGAGACCAACAGGACCGGCACAACCTGGATATCCCGAAGGAGGTAACGGAGGACAGCAAGTACCACCACAGACGGGGTATCCGAGATTGCCGGGAGACCGACTGGGACCATATACGGTTCCACCGGGGTACCCGGGATACCCACGTCCTGGCCAAAAACCATCAGTACCACAAGTACCACCACAGACTGGTTATACGAGAGAAGATCAATATCCTGGGCAAAGACCAACAGGTCCACCTAAACCCGGAGAACCAGGTTACCCGGGATATCCCCATGGAGAAGTTCCCGGATATCCGCCGCAACCTGTAGGACCTTCAGACTATCCAAGTATTTCAGGACAACCTGCATATCCATTACCGCCTGGACACTGGCCTGGAAGGGGTCATCCAGGTGGGAAATTTAGTGGTCAATTCGCTGGAGATTACCTTCACCAAGCTGCTCAAGGAGGTCGATTTTCGGGAACGTTTGCTGGAGAGTACGAAGCTTACCAGAATGGTAGAGCTAATGGGAGGTTCGGAGAAACGGAAACCGTAACGGGTGGAACAAAATATCCCGGAGGTCACAAAGTTCCGGAAAGGATAACGTATCCGGGATTACCTGGAAGCCAACAGGTTTATCCAGGAGCACAACCAGGGGGTAATGGAAGACCGTTTATTCCTGGATCTGATGTTGGAGGGCAACCAGGTTATCCAGGTACAGGAAAACAGCCGGGTTACGTTCCAGGACAGCAAACGGGTTATCCGGGACAACCTTATCCTGCCGGTCCGGGACAACTACCAAGTGTACCCGGACAACAACCAGGTTATCAGAGAATTCCGGGCCAACAATCGGGCTATCCTGGCGTCACGGGACAAGTACCTGGTGTTTCTGGACAACAACCAGGGTATACGGCCATTCCGGGCCAACAACCAGTTTATCCTGCCGGTCCGGGACAAGTACCAAGTATCCCCGGGCAACAAACAGGTTATCCGGGAATTCCGGGCCAACAACCAGGTTATACGGGCGTCCCAGGCGTGCATCCAGTCCCACAACCAGGTCTTCCGGGCTATCCAGGTGTTTCAGGCTATCCGGGCGTCCCAGGTCAAGAGTCGGGCTATCCGGGAGTACCAGGTGTACAAACAGACTATCCGGCAGCCCCAGGTGGACCACCTATCCATACGGGAGTACAAAACGGATATCTGCCAACTCCTGGCGGACAAAACGGCTATCCGGGAGTCCCAGGCGTTCAATCGGGCTACCCAGGAACCGCAGGCGCACAACCCGGCTATCCAGGAGTTCCAGGCGCACAACCCGGCTATCCAGGAGTTCCAGGCGCACAACCTGGCTACCCAGGCGTTCCAGGAACACAACCCGGCTATCCTGGAATTCCGGGTCAGCAACCAGGTTACACACACGGAATTCCACCAGGTGGCCAACCGCCATATTCAGGAGGGTCGGGCTACGGCGGAGACGTCGATGTGTACGGTCGCCCCGGCGAAGGCCCCATGCGCTTCACAGAGGGCGAACAAGTCGACGACTCCGACTCCCAAGTCCTCACTTCCGTCCAACAAAAAAACAACGAAACTCTGGCTAGCGCGTCTGCGCAAGGTAGATTCCAAGGAGGTACAGCGCAATCCCAAGTGTCAGGTACCTACTCAGGCTCAGGTTCCTTCAACGCTTTAGCCGGGAGCGACGACGGGAAAAGAGGTGCCCTAACTCAAGTTTCTGGAGGCAAAGAAGGCGCGCAGAGCGCCGCACAAGGTAGGGGTGGTTTAGGGCAAAGTCAAGCTCAAGTTCAATTGGCTTCAGAGACCGGTGACACGATTTCGAGCGCACAAACAGCAGGGTGGAACCACGGTAGTCAGACCCAAGTACAGGCCAGTGGTAAAGGCGGAATGTCGGATGCCCAGGCCAACGGTCCCGGTAGCACGTCATCCCAAGCCCAGATTGGGTTTACCCCGTACGACGAACACGAACAAGAAAATCAGACCACGCCGTTTGGAGGCGGCGGGATGGCGAGTGCCCAGAGTGGAACGTACTCAGGGCAAGCGCAAAGCCAAATCCAGGGGAAGTTCCAGTACGGGATTAGGTACACGGGGGCGGCGCAAGCAGGGTCTGGAGGTCGAGACGGGATTTCCGGGAGAAACGAAAGCAGGATTTCGAGCTTCGCGGCTTTCCCGGAGTTCAAACCCTTGAATTTTACTGCAGATAAGTCCGCGTTTAACACGCAGAGTCAGGTTTTGCAAACCAACGATAGGTCGAATGTTCAGAAAACGATAACACGGGATTCGTCGGTTCCGAGGGGGCAAGAAGTCGACCAGACTACCGTTCACGATCTGGAAATGGAGGAAACGGCTACGGATGAGTACCATGATGAGGAGTACGACGACTATGAAGGGGACTACACCACCCCTAAGACCAGGACCAAGAGTATAATCAGTCAGGCTTCCAAAAACCAGAGGCAACACATAGTTTTGGATCCGCTTGAAGATCTCGACGCGACAGTCCAACAAAGCTACGGTTATCCTCCTGATGGTACAATCCTGCAACCGGGAGAGTACGTCCCGGGCTCTCCCGGTTACCAAATCCCTCCGGGTTTCAGAGGGAGAGTCAAGTCGGTCGCGAACGGTCAAAACACCTATTCCACAGGAAAGAACTCTCAAGCTCAAAGCGTCACACTAACCCCTGGGACGGGTCGAGTTATCTACAAGAGACCCATCTATGCGGTATCGTCGAATACCCATTTCCGGAATGGGCACATCGGGTTCGGTTCCGGATACACGTACCAACCGGCTAATTACCAAGTCAAGAGCGGCAAATCTCTCCCTAATTTCGTTTCATTGACTAAGTCGGAAACTGGTTCGAAGAACCCGTACACAGGTCAGAAGACACCTTCAGTCTATTACACCCAGTCTTCGAGTTGTGGCGTGTTTACGAACACCTGTGTGTTTAATGGTAACGGGAAGCTGTGTTTCCCCAAACCCAAAACCAATCCAGATGGGTCCTTCGTCTCCTGTTAATGTAATTTTTTGTTTAATTGATAAGATATCTTTTGTAACTTATAAATCGTATATTATACAGTTATAAATAACTGAGTTTTTTTCGTCGACGGTATCTTTGTTTTAAATAGCTATTTTTGTGATTAAAACGTGTTGGTAATGTGTTGTGGCGTAAATTATAATTTATTGTTAAAACAGTCGTTTCAGGTAATTTTTTAATTGGTTTTTTATTATTATCGATTGAAGTTTAAACGAACAACTAATTGGAATGAGGGTGATAACCCTTTATATAGATCTGTATTGTGGGTTGCATACCTACAAGTTTGGTTCTGTGTAACTGAAGCCAAAACAATATAAAAGTTGGGAATAACACAAAACAGTAATTTAGAAAACTTCTCGAATGAGTAGGACTCAGTTAATTTAATTAATTTATACCAAAAATTGCCCTTTCGCTTTTGTGCAGTCACCCCACAGTACTAATTATGGAGATTTTATATAACAATGAAGTCTGTTTTTAGATCTGTTTTATTTCGCTAACCTACAGTTATTACTTCTTCACGGATTCTAACAAATAAGAATTTTTAATTACTTTATAAATATTTTTCAGTTGGATGGGTGGAATAATGTACAAACAGTTTTGTCTTCTTGTTGTGTACTATTTTTAGTACTAAGTTTTAATAATAAAAATTGTCGTCAATTACCATCTGTAAAATGTTTTTTTTTTTAACAGGATATACGTAGGTGATTTTTTTGCAGAAATAGCGAATCGTCAAGTCACATTTTTGTTATTACTGATGATAATACATTTTGTATGAAAGTGTTGTTGACAGCCTTGAGATTTGTATCTATCTTACATAATTTTTGAAAAAAAGACATTCCTAAGAACAGAATAAGTAAAAAATGACCTTAAAACTATAAAAATGCAGTTATAACCAGTCACGCGGCTTCGTTTATGTTTAAATGGATGTATATATGTTATTAACATAAAAGCGACAAGATCTTTCCGCATAAAATCATTTTGCTATTAATCCGCAAGATTAAAATTTCCAGTTACGCGAACAGAAAATTTCAAAATATTTTATATTATATTATTTTATTTATACAGATCACCGAACAACTTTTAGATTACGATGCTGTGTTTCAGTAAAGAATTTTAGATATTTCATATACGTTATACATATTAAATAAATTCATGTATGCAACTAGGTATACATGTAATCGAATCACACGTGAAGACAATCAGTGAACACATTTTCTGAAAATTTTCTGATTAAATTATTTTGTGAAAATATCCCTTTTAACGCATTTTTTCAAATAATTTTTATTCTGAACTCCAAGCCATTTCTATCTGTCCACCAATTTTTTCCATTCGAACAGAGGCAGTTTTGTACTCTTTTTTTTTGAAAATTTTTGGATATTATATTGAATTCGCTTCAGATTCTTAATTAACAAAAAATTCTCTATAACCGCGCGGTTTCGTCTATTCAAATAAAACCCTTTTTACCATGTTTTGGAATTTTTTTGATATTTTTCCGTTTTCCACATTTGGTTAAAGAATTATGAAAATGGCTTTAGACTGGTAATAATATATTGAAAATTCCCTATGAGTGAGCAGTTTTAACGTTCTTTGGAGATTTTTTTTTGGAAATAATTTTTTATTTTTTTCGTAGTTATTTAAAGAATTGTTATTTTAGATTGAGATTCTACTAAAAATTCCTCATGTCTGAGCAATTTGTTTCTGTTCGAAAAGAAGCAGTTTTAACTTTTTTTTTTGAAAATTTTTGGAAATTATTTTCTGTTTTTCTGCAGTTATTTTTAAGATTATGGTGAAACAACTTCAGATTGGCAATGTACTGAAAATCCTCATAAACTAAAATGTTTTTCTATTCGAATAAAGGCCGTGTTGAGATTTTTTTGAAAATTTTTGGAAATTATTTTGCGTTTTCCGTATTTTTTTTTATTATTTTCGTATTTTTGAAGTCTTGGAGAAAATTGCTTCAGGTCCAACAGTTTCGCATTTTCAAATAAAACCCGTTTTTATATTTTTTTGAAAATTTTTTGGAATTTTTCCCGTTTTCCAGTTTAAAGAATTATTATAAAAATGCCTTCAGGTTGATAATAATCTATCAAAAATTTCCAATTTTTATTTTTTATCGTTAGTTGGAAATTATTTTTAACTTTAACGAATTACTGTGGAATTGACTTTAGATTAACAATCTACAGAAAATTCTCTATGTTCTAGTAACTTTTTCTATTCGAAAAGAGACAATTTGACTTTTTTTGGGAAATTTTTGGAAATTATTTTGATTTTTTCGTACTTATTTAATTGAAGACCTTAAGGAAAAATTGCTTCCGATTTTCAATTTACAGACAATTATCTACAAACCAGCACTTTTAGCTATTCATATAAAATTCGTTTCAACATTTTTGTAAATTTTTTGGAATATCTACTTTTTCCCATTTTCCACAGTTACATGAAGAATTAATAAAAAATGAATTCGGGAATAATAATTTACTCAAAATTTCCCACGATAAATAATTTTTCGAGTTGGAATAGAATCAATTTTGACATTTTTTTCTTGAAAAATGTTTGGAAATTATTTCGCTTTTCGCACTTATTTGAAGACTTTAGAGAAAAATTGCTTCAGATCCTTAATTTACAGAAAACTTTCTATGAGCCATCAGTGTCGCCTTTTCAAATAAAAACCGTTATTATATTTTTTGGAAATATTTTAGAATTTTTCTCCGTTTTTCAACTATTATTTAAAGAATTATTATGAAACTGGTTTTAGTTTGATAATAATATATCGAAAATTCCTATGAGTTCGTACTTTTTACATTATTACAGTTAGAGTAGAGGTAGTTTTAAATTTTTTTGGAAATTTGTTGGAATCTATTTTTTCTGTTTTCTGTAGTTATTTAAAGAAGATTAAAGAATTTCCAGAATCGACCGTTAAAATTTCGAAATTTTTGAAATTTTGAAAAATTGGCTTTTCGTACCGATTCTTTCGAAAATGTCGCTCCGTGACCATCAACAGGCTATATTTTTGGAATCAGCACGTCGAGATCTACATCCCTGAATTTTTTTGCAATTTTTAGACGACCTTTTTAAAAGTGAAAATTTTCCAGTGGTCCCCCTTCTTCAATTTTCGGCCAAATTTTGACATTTTCGAAACATATCTGAATACATTTTCTTGTAGATTTCGAGCCCTAGAACTCCCTTCCGGTCTCGATTCTTTGATAGCGGCGACCGTTTTTCCAGAATCGAGCGTTGAAATATCGAAATTTTTGAAATTTTGAAAAATTCGCATTTCGTACCGATTTTTTCGAAAATGTCGCTCCGTGACCATCAACAGGCTATATTTTTGGAATCAGCATGTCGAGATCTACGTCCCTCAATTTTTTCGCAATTTTTAGACGACTTTTTAAAAGTGAAAATTTTCCCCCCCTTCTTCAAATTTCGACCAAATTTTGACATTTTCCAAACCTAATTGAATAGATTAAAATTAACTTTTTCTGTTCGACAGTTTAATATTTTTTTGGTACAATTTTGGAAATTATTTTTCTATTTTCTGCTGTTGTTTGAAGGATTAATGTAAGTAACTTTAAATCGGTAATCTGCTTAAGTCCACCATGAACGAAAATGTTTTACTACTGGAATAAAATTGTTTCAAAATTTTTTGGAAAATTTTTGGAAATTATTTTGATTTTTCGTGCTTATTTATTTGAAGACCTTAAGAACAAATTACTTCAGATTCTTAATTTACAGAAAATTCTCCATAAGCCAGCAATTTTGTCTATCCAAATATAATCTGTTTTAACACTTTTTGGATTTTTTTTGGAGCTTTTTCCGGTTTTACGCAGTTATTTGAAGAATTATTACGAAAACGATTTTGGATTAATAATTTAATGAAAATTTCCTATCAGTAAGTACTTTTCTCTGTTCGAATAGAGACAGTTTCAACTTTTTTTTGGAAACATTTTGGAAATTATTTTGACGTTTTTCACGGTTATTTAAAGAATTACTATGAAAATGACTTTGGATTGAAAATTTACTGAAAATTTCCTGTTGGAATAGAGGCATTTTCACCTTTTTATTGAAAACTTGTTGGAAATTATTTTGCGTTTTTTGCACTTATTTGAAAATTTTGGAATAAAATTGCTTCAAATTCTTGAGTTACAGAAAAATTTCTATAAGGCAGTAATTTTGTCTATTCAAATAGGACCCATTTTAACATTTTTTGTAAATTCTTTAGAACTTTTTTCCCGTTTTCCGCAGTTATTTGAAGAATTATTACGAAAATGATTTTAAATTAATAATTTACTCAAAATTTCCTATCAGTAAATATTTTTTCTGTTCGAATCGAGAGTTTTAACTTTTGGCAATAATTTTTCGTTTTCTGCGGTTAATTGAAGAATTATTGAAAAACGATTTTGCCTTTTAAGTTTTTTTTGGAAAAATTTTGGAAATTATTTTGACGTTTTTAGCGGTTATTTAAAGAATTATCATGAAAATGACTTCGGATTGAAAATTTACTGAAGATTTCCCACGATAAGTACTTTTTCCTGTTGGAATAGAGGCATTTTCACCTCTTTGTTGGAAAAGTTTTGGAAATTATTTTGCTTTTTTCGCATTTATTTGAAGATTTTGGAAGAAAATTGTTTCAGATTCTTAAGTTACAGAAAAATTTCTATAAGGCAGTAATTTTGTCTATTCAAATAGGAGCCATTTTAACATTTTTTTGACAATTAATTTTTCGTTTTCTGCGGTTAATTGAAGAATTATTGAAAAACTATTTTGCGGTTTAAGTTTTATTGGAAAAATTTTGGAAATTATTTTGAAGTTTTTAGCGATTATTTTTAAAGAATTATTATGAAAACGACTTCGGATTGAAAATTTACTGAAAATTTCCCACGATAAGTCCTTTTTCCTGTTGGAATAGAGGCATTTTCACCTTTTTGTTTGAAAATTTTTGGAAATTATTTTGCTTTTTCCGCACTTATTTGAAGATTTTGGAAGAAAATTGCTTCAGATTATTAAGTTACACAAAAATTTCTATAAGGCAGTAATTTTGTCTATTCAAATAGGACCCATTTTAACATTTTTTGGAACTTCTTTGCCGTTTTCCGCAGTTATTTGAAGAATTATTACGAAAATGATTTTGAATTAATAATTTACTCAAAATTTCCTATCAGTAAATATTTTTTCTGTTCGAATGGAGGCAGTTTTAACTTTTGGCAATTAATTTTTTGTTTTCTGCGGTTATTTGAAGAATTAATTATTGAAAAACTATTTTGCGATTTAAGTTTTTTTGGAAAAATTTTGGAAATTATTTTGACGTTTTTAGCGATTATTTAAAGAATTACTATAACAATGACTTCGGATTGAAAATTTACTGAAAATTTCCCACGATATAGTACTTTTTCCTGTTGGAATAGAGGAATTTTCACCTTTTTGTTGGAAAATTTTTGGAAATTATTTTGGTTTTTTCGCACTTATTTGAAGATTTTGGAAGAAAATTTCTTCAGATTTTTAAGTTACAGAAAATTTTCTATAAGGCAGTAATTTTGTCTATTCAAATAGGACCCGTTTTAACATTTTTTGGAGCTTCTTTCCCGTTTTCCGCAGTTATTTGAAGAATTATTACGAAAATGATTTTAAATTAATAATTTACTCAAAATTTCCCATCAGTAAATATTTTTTTTGTTCGAATAGGGGCAGTTTTAACTTTTGGCAATTAATTTTTCGTTTTCTGCGGTTATTTGAAAAATTAATTATTGAAAAACTATTTTGCGATTTAAGTTTTTTTGGAAAAATTTTGGAAATTATTTTGACGTTTTTAGCGGTTATTTAAAGAATTACTATGAAAATGATTTCGGATTGAAAATTTACTGAAGATTTCCCACGATAAGTACTTTTTCCTGTTGAAATAGAGGCATTTTCACCTTTTTGTTGGAAAATTTTTGGAAATTATTTTGCTTTTTTCGCACTTATTTGAAGACTTTGGAAGAAAATTGCTTCAGAGTCTGAAGTTACAGAAACATTTCTATAACGCAGTAATTTTGTCTATTCAAATAGGACTCATTTTAACATTTTTTGGAAACTTTTTTCCCGTTTTCCGCAGTTATTTGAAGAATTATTACGAAAATGCTTTTAAATTAATAATTTACTCAAAATTTCCTATCAATAAATATTTTTTCTGTTCGAATGGAGGCAGTTTTAACTTTTGACAATTAATTTTTCGTTTTGTGCGGTTATTTGAAGAATTATTACGAAAATGATTTTAAATTAATAATTTACTCAAAATTTCCCATCAGTAAATATTTTTTCTGTTCGAATCGAGAGTTTTAACTTTTGGCAATAATTTTTTTGTTTTGTGCGGTTATTTGAAGAATTATTTATTGCAACATTATTTTGTGTTTTACGGTTTTTGGAAAAATTTTGGAAATTATTTTGACGTTTTTAGCGGTTATTTAAAGAATTACAATGAAAATGACTTTGGAAATTATTTTGCGTTTTTTGCACTTATTTGAAAATTTTGGAAAAAAATTGCTTCAGATTCTTAAGTTACAGAAAAATTTCTATAAGGCAGTAATTTTGTCTATTCAAATAGGACCCATTTTAACATTTTTTGGAAATTTTTTTGAACTTTTTTCCCGTTTTCCGCAGTTATTTGAAGAATTATTACGAAACTGATTTTAAATTAATAATTTAATTTACTCAAAATTTCCTATCAGTAAATATTTTTTCTGTTCGAATCGAGACAGTTTTAACTTTTGGCAATAATTTTTTCGTTTTGTGCGGTTATTTGAAGAATTATTTATTGCAACATTATTTTGCGTTTTACGTTTTTTGGAAAAATTTTGGAAATTATTTTGACGTTTTTAGCGGTTATTTAAAGAATTACAATGAAAATGACTTTGGATTGAAAATTTACTGAAAATTTCCTGTTGGAATAGAGGCATTTTCACCTTTTTGTTGGAAACTTGTTGGAATTTATTTTGCGTTTTTTGCACTTATTTGAAAATTTTGGAATAAAATTGCTTCAAATTCTGGAGTTACAGAAAAATTTCCATAAAGCAGTAATTTTGTCTATTCAAATAGAACCCATTTTAACATTTTTTGGAAATTTTTTAGAACTTTTTTCGCGTTTTCCGCAGTTATTTGAAGAATTATTACGAAAATGATTTTAAATTAACAATTTACTCAAAATTTCCCATCAGGAATATTTTTTCTGTTCGAATCGAGAGTTTTAACTTTTGGCAATAATTTTTTCGTTTTGTGCGGTTATTTGAAGAATTATTTATTGCAACATTATTTTGTGTTTTACGGTTTTTGGAAAAATTTTGGAAATTATTTTGACGTTTTTAGCGGTTATTTAAAGAATTACAATGAAAATGACTTTGGAAATTATTTTGCGTTTTTTGCACTTATTTGAAAATTTTGGAAGAAAATTGCTTCAGATTCTTGAGTTACAGAAAAATTTCTATAAGGCAGTAATTTTGTCTATTCAAATAGGACCCATTTTAACATTTTTTGGAAATTTTTTTGAACTTTCTTCCCGTTTTCCGCAGTTATTTGAAGAATTATTACGAAACTGATTTTAAATTAATAATTTAATTTACTCAAAATTTCCTATCAGTAAATATTTTTTCTGTTCGAATCGAGACAGTTTTAACTTTTGGCAATAATTTTTTCGTTTTGTGCGGTTATTTGAAGAATTATTTATTGCAACATTATTTTGCGTTTTACGGTTTTTGGAAAAAATTTGGAAATTATTTTGACGTTTTTAGCGGTTATTTAAAGAATTACAATGAAAATGACTTTGGATTGAAAATTTATTGAAAATTTCCTGTTGGAATAGAGGCATTTTCACCTTTTTATTGGAAACTTATTGGAAATTATTTTGCGTTTTTTGCACTTTTTGAAAATTTTGGAACAAATTTGCTTCAAATTCTAGAGTTACAGAAAAATCTCTATAAGGCAGTAATTTTGTCTATTCAGATAGGACCCATTTTAACATTTTTTGGAAATTTTTTGGAACTTTTTTCCCGTTTTCCGCAGTTATTTGAAGAATTATTACGAAAATGATTTGAAATTAATAATTTACTCAAAACTTCCCATCAGTAAATATTTTTTCTGTTCGAATGGAGCCAGTTTTAACTTTTGGCAATTATTTTTTCGTTTTGTGCGGTTATTTGAAGAATTATTGAAAAACTATTTTGCGTTTTAAGTTTTTTTTTGAAAAATTTTGGAAATTATTTTGACGTTTTTAGGGGGTTATTTAAAGAATTACAATGAAAATGACTTTGGATTGAAAATTTATTGAAAATTTCCTGTTGGAATAGAGGCATTTTCACCTTTTTATTGGAAACTTATTGGAAATTATTTTGCGTTTTTTGCACTTTTTAAAAATTTTGGAACAAATTTGCTTCAAATTCTAGAGTTACAGAAAAATCTCTATAAGGCAGTAATTTTGTCTATTCAGATAGGACCCATTTTAACATTTTTTGGAAATTTTTTGGAACTTTTTTCCCGTTTTCCGCAGTTATTTGAAGAATTATTACGAAAATGATTTGAAATTAATAATTTACTCAAAACTTCCCATCAGTAAATATTTTTTCTGTTCGAATGGAGCCAGTTTTAACTTTTGGCAATTATTTTTTCGTTTTGTGCGGTTATTTGAAGAATTATTCAAAAACTATTTTGCGTTTTAAGTTTTTTTTTGAAAAATTTTGGAAATTATTTTGACGTTTTTAGGGGGTTATTTAAAGAATTACAATGAAAATGACTTTGGATTGAAAATTTATTGAAGATTTCCTGTTGGAATAGAGGCATTTTCACATTTTTGTTGGAAACTTGTTGGAAATTATTTTACGTTTTTTGCACTTATTTGAAAATTTTGGAATAAAATTGCTTTAAATTCTTGAGTTACAGAAAAATCTCTATAAGGCAGTAATTTTGTCTATTCAAATAGGACCCATTTTAACATTTTTTGGAAATTTTTTAGCACTTTTTTTCCCGTTTTCCGCAGTTATTTGAAGAATTATTACGAAAATGATTTTAAATTGATAATTTACTCATAGAGGCATGTTCACCTTTTTGTTGGAAACTTGTGGGAAATTATTTTGCGTTTTTTCCACTTGTTTGAAAATTTTGGAATAAAATTGCTTCAAATTCTTGAGTTACAGAAAAATCTCTATAAGGCAGTAATTTTGTCTATTCAAATGGGACCCATTTTAATATTTTTTGGAAATTTTTTTGAACTTTTTCCCGTTTTCCGCAATTATTTGAAGAATTATTACGAAAATGATTTTGAATTAATAATTTACTCAAAATTTCCCATCAGTAAATATTTTTTCTGTTCGAATGGAGGCAGTTTTAACTTTTGGCAATTATTTTTTCGTTTTCTGCGGTCATTTGAAGAGTTATTGAAAAATTATTTTGCCTTTTCAGTTTTTTTTGGACATGCATTCCAAAACTATTCTTCACTTTGTGATTATGCAACCAACAATACAACCAAAGTACGTTCCTTAAAAATATTGTTAACAGCTAACTGAAAAAGATAAAGGAATATATTTTAATAACGATTAATGAAACTACCAAAGAGATTGTTGTAAAATTGTGCTCCTTTCTGTCAGAAATTCAAATTTTTAGACCAGTTTCGGAATTCAAGGTTTCCAAAATGTGAATAACAAATTTTCATTAAGAGAACCTCATCACCCATTGTGGATTTTGTATAAGCTTGCTTAGTTTCCACATTAAATAAACACTCTCTTAACTAGAAAAATTAAATAGATAAATATTTAAACCTTTAATAAAACAAGTACAAATTGTTACACTAGATAACACACAATACCTAATTAAACAAATTTTCACCTCATTTACTCAACCACCGTCACCACCGGAAGGTCAAACCTAACCGCAGTCAAACCGTATCACCCAATTCCACCCATACAACAAACCCATCGACCATCAAGTACCGTAACTCCACGAACGCACTCACCTGACGACCCAACGGCACGAAGCTACGTGTACATCCTCCTACCACCTAGCGTGAATCAACCGTCTCAATCTTCAGTTCAACAATTCTATCAGACCAGTGCGTTCAATGAACCTGTGCCCGAATATGCAAAATTGCGACTAAACGCCACCCTCAGCCGCAAATGGTGACTTAAGCCAGAAATGTTTTCAAAATCGGCGCAGTGCAGAAAACCGTGATTGTGATATGTTGTTGTTTGTGTTATCTACATGGACGTGTTTGTAAAGTCGTTAGTCGAAACTGCGAAAATGCAGAGAGTCAAGGGGCGAAAAAGTATTTTGTGGGCGTATTTGTGTTGGTTGTTCGGGGGGATTTTCGGGCTGCATTTGTTTTATTTGGAGAGGGATGCCCACGCGTTTTTGACTTGGAGTACCCTGGGAGGTTATGGGTTGGGGTGGCTGGCGGACGTTACCAAGATCCCGAGGTACGTGAGGGACTGCAATGAGGACCCGAAGTTTTTGGAGGAGCTGGGGGAGAGGATGAGGAAGAACAGGAAGGTACTCTTTTTGGAATTTTTTACCTTTTGTAGTTGAGAAAAAAGGGTGAAAATTGGTTTTGGTACCAAGAAGTACTAACATATTGTACTCTGATGACTAGTAGAAAGAATATGTGTGACGTAATTGCACTGCTGGTGTTATCAGTTCCTTATCTATGCTATAATATCTAGAACATGTGAAGTAGCAACAATTAGATTTTCTACAGGTGGTACTATACTTCGAAACTAATTTAGGTTTGGTTGTTAAATTTAATGGTCATTTTAATGGGTTTTGAGTGACTGCGTACAATTTTTAGTACCATTTGGGTTAATGTCGGACCCCAGATGACCCAGTACCGGTACAGGTAGAATCCCGACCCACTTATGAAAAATCATAGACGAAAAAGTGCCAATTTTCAGTGATGTTAGGTAAATTCTGAAATCTTTAGTACTAACTTGAAAAACCGAGTCGCTCAACTACGTTGCGCGTCCCCACATCCATGAAAGTTTATTCTGGTTCAAGTTCAAGGTTTTCGCCTTGTTAATGACTGTAATAACATGTAAAATATGAATTTAAAGAGAAAAAAGTTAATTGACTGTTTACTTCATATGTAACGTAAGCCCGATAAAACCCTCGTTTAATAAAGTCAAATAAACCCCAAACAGATATAAATCAAATTTTAAATGTTATTTAACACATTTGCATTGTTGCCCGCTTAATTAAATTAGGTTGGGTTGCACCAAGTTGAAATTAAATTGGCAGACCTGTTTTCAAATTTCTTGGAATCCGTAACTTTCAAGGTTGCGTTGTACTTAAGTCACATTATGTAAGTTGGTACTTATGAGGTAGTTAAAAAGTTGGTACTTTGAGCTTGAAATTTATGTTTTGTTCGACCACACGTGCTCATCGTAATTAAGAGGAAATTGCAATCTAATTACGTTATTAATGTATAAATTGTGATAGATTTTGTTAATGTGTACTGTGATGATGTTATACTGGGTGATTTTTAACATATCGAAAAATTGTACTGGTCATCCCCACACATAATAAAATCCATCTCCAAATTTTATAATAGCAATATAATGTTATTTTAATTTTGTAAAGTAACAACTCCTCTACTTGTGGTTTATGAACCCGTGTTGAGTTTTTATTGTAGGCATTTAGCTTTTTGGAAAAAAGATTGTTTAACAAGATTTTACAATCCAACTTGAAATTGCAAATTCAAATGCTTTGAAATCTTGCAAACGCTTTAAGGCTAGTGGAAGTATGGTAAATCGCTTATAAACATTTTTCTTTTTTTCGATTTCTTGATTTTCGTTTTTTTGATTCTCCAATTTTTAAATTTTTCCGCTCTTAAATTTTTTGATATTTTAATTTTTCGATCTTTCAATTTTTCTATTTATCAATTTTTTTTACTTAAATTTTTCACTTTTTAATTTTCCGTTTTTTCGATTCTAGAGTATTTACATTTTTCGATTTCTCGATATTTCAATTTTTAGATATTCAATATTTCTTCGATTTTTCGATTTTCGATATTTGAATTTTAGGAACTTTCAATTTTTGAATTCCCTAATTTTTGGTGTTTCAACTTTTCGATTTTTAAATATTCCGGTTTTTCAGTTTATCAATTTCGCGATTTCTCGATTTATCGAGTTTCGATGTTTCGATTTTTTCTTAATTTAAATTTTTCAAAATTTTCTATTTTTAATTTTCGATTTTGGACTGTTTTGATGTTTCGATTTCTTGATGTTTCAATTAGTCAAGGTTTCGATTCTTCAATTTGTCTTTATTTTTCAATTTTTCGATTTATGATTCTATCAATTTTTCGATATTTGAGTTTTAAAATGTTTTTCAATTTTTCGATTATTCAATTTTTTGATATTTTTAATTTCTCGATTTTTCGGTTTTTTGATTTCTCAAGTTTTCGATATTTCAGTTTTTGGATTTTCCCGTTTTTCGATTCCTCAATTTTTTAGATTTTTCGGTTTTTCGATTGATCGTTTTATCAGTATTTTGATATTTGAGTTTTGGAATTTTTCAATTTTTCGGTTCTTCAATTTTTCGATATTTGGAATTTTCAATTTTTCAATTTTCTTATTAATCGATTTGTTTTTATTTTAAATTTTTCAGTTATAATTATCGTTTTTTCGATTCTGGACCATTTAGATTTTTCGACTTCTCGATTTTTTGATTTTTCAATCTTTTGAGTTTCGATTTCTCGATATTTCAACGTTTCGATTTTTCACTTTTTCGATTTTTGAGTATTTCGATTTTTCAGTTTATCAATTTTGCGATTTCTCGATTTATCGAGTCTCGAAGTTTCCATATTTTTCTTAATTTAAATTTTTCAAAATTGTCGATTTTTAATTTTCGATTTTGGGCTATTTAGATGTTTCGACTTCTAGATGTTTCATTTAGTCAATTTTTCGATTTCTCAATTTTTTAGTTCTTTAATTTTTCTTTATTTTTCAATTTTTCGATTTACAGTTTTATCAGTTTTTCGATGTTTGAGTTTTAAATTTTTTTTTTTCAATTTTTCGATTCTTCAATTTTTTGATATTTTTAATTTCTCGAATTTTTAATTTTTTGATTTTCCAATTTCTCAATTTTTCATTTTTGTTCGATTTTTCAATTTTTTGGTTTTTAAGTTTTCGTTTTTTAGCGTTTCTAAATTCTCAACTTTTCGATTTCTCAATTTTTCTACTTTTTGACTTTCCGACTTTAAGATTATTCGATTTTCCTATTTCTCGGATCTCGACCGTGTTTCGATTTCTCGATTTTTCTATATATTTCTCGATTTTTAGATCTTTCACTTCTTCGATTTTTCGACTTTTCGATTTTTCCGTTTTCCGATTTCTCAGTTTTTCTTCGATTTTCCAGTTTTTCGAAATTTAAGTTTTGGTATTTTAATTTTTCGATTTTTCAGGTTTTCTTGACTTTTCGATTTCTCGATTTTTCGACTTTTTAACTTTTCGACTTTCATATTATTCAATTTTGTGATTTTTGTATTTCTAGATCACTCGACCTTTCGATGTTTCCATTCTCGATTTTTCGATTTTTCAGGTTTTTAATTTTTTAAATTTTCGATTTTTCCGTTTTCCCATATTTGAGTTTTGATATTTTAATTTTTTGATTTTTAATTTCTCGATTTTGAGCCATTGTGATTTCTGGATTTTTCGATTTCTCAACTTTTCGATTTCTCTGCTCATTTTTTTAATGTCTTAATTTTTCAATTTTTTATTTTTTGTTTTTTCAATTTTGGGCATTTTGACATTTCTCAGTTTTTTAATTCTTCAATTTTCCTAGATTTTTCAACTTTTCGATATTTAAATTTTGCGATTTTCCAATTTTTCTATTTTTCAATTTTTGATATCTTAACTTTCAAATTTTTCACTTTTTGGGTTTTTTAATATTTCGATTTTTCAGCTATTCATTTTTCGATTTTTTGATTTATCGAGTTTTTACGTTTCGATTTTTCAATTGTTGAGTTTCTCGAATTTTTTGGCTTTGGACTAGTTCGATTTTTCGATTTCCCGTTTGTTCAATTTTTCAGTTTTTCCATTCTTCTTTGATTTTTCAATTTTTCAATGCTTCAATTTTTTGATATTTTAGTTTGTCGATTTTAATTTTTGGTTTTCCCTTTTTTATTTTTTTTTCATTTTTCAGTTTCTCGATTTTTCAAGCTTCGATTTTTCTATTTTTCGATATTTCAATTTTTGCGATTTTTCAGTTTTTGTATTCTTCCATTTTTTAATTTTTTTTTAATTTTCGATGTTTCGATTTTCTTATTTTTCGGTTTCGCAATTTTCCTATATTTCAGTTTTGAGATTTTTCAATTTTTGGCGGTTCTAAATCTTTGATTTTCCGGTTTTTCCATATTTGAGTTTTGATATTTTAATTTTTCGATTCTTTTAAATTTTTCAATTTTCCAGTTTTTCGGTACATATTTCGGTTTTTCGATTTTTGTAAAATTTAAATTTGTCAATTTTTAATTTCTCGATTTTGAGTCATTGTGATTTCTGGATTTTTCGATTTCTCGACTTTTCGATTTCTCTACTTTCCATTTTTTTAATGTATTAATTTTTCAATTTTTAATTTTTCGTTTTTTCAATTATAGGCATTTTGACATTTCTCAATTTTTCGACTCTTCAATTTTCCTAGATTTTTCAACTTTTCAATATTTAAATTCTACGATTTTCCAATTTTTCTTTTTTTCAATTTTTGATATTTTTAACTTTGTAAATTTTCACTTTTTGGGTTTTTTAATATTTCGATTTTTCAGCTTTTCATTTTATCGAGTTTCTCGAATTTTTGGTATCACAATTTTTTGATTTTGGACTATATCTTCGATTTTTCGACTTTCCGTTTGTTCGATTTTTCAGTTTTTCCATTCGTCTTTGAATTTTCAATTTTTCTATTCTTCAACTTTTTGATATTCCAGTTTTCCGATTTTTCAAGTTTAGATTTTTCAATTTTTCGATATTTCAGTTTTGGGATTTTTCAGTTTTTGGATTCTTCCTTCAATTTCTCATTTTCTTAAATTTTAAATGTTTCGCTGTTCTTATTTTTCGGTTTCTCAATTTTCCTATATTTCAATTTTACGATTTTTCAATTTTTGGCGGTTCTAAATTTTCGATTTTCCGGTTTTTCGACTTTTCGAATGTTAGATTTTTAGGCTTTTCGATTTTTCGATTTTCCAATTTTTCAATGTTTCGATATGTCAATTTTTCGATTTTTAAATGTTTAATATATTAGTTTATCGATTTTTCGATTTCTTTCAATTACTCGACTTTTCTTTTTCTCGATTTTTCAATCTTTCCATTCTTGGATTTTTCGATATTTCAGGAGTTTGACTTTTTAAATTTTCGATTTTCCGATTTCCCGATTCCGATTTCCGTTTTTCGGTTTCAGTTTTCTTCGATTTTTCAATTTTTCGTTTTTTCAGTCATTCGATTTATTGATTTTTGCAAAACTTAAATTTTCCAATTTTTAATTTTTCGATATTGAGCTGTTGTGATTTCTCAATTTTTCGATTTTTCGACTTCTCGACTTTTCAATTTCTCAATATTTCATTTTTTTAATATTTCAATTTTTCAATTTTGGCGGTTCTAAATTTTCGATTTTTCGGTTTTTCGACTTTTCGACTTTTACATTTTTCGGCTTTTCGATTTTTTGATTTTCCAATTTTTCAATGTTTCGATATTGCAATTTTTCGAGTTTTCGAATTCTCAATTTCTCGACTTTTCTTTTTCTTCGATTTTCCAGTTTTTCGAAATTTAAGTTTTGGTATTTTAATTTTTCGATTTTTCAGGTTTTCTTGACTTTTCGATTTCTCGATTTTTCGACTTTTTAACTTTTCGACTTTCATATTATTCAATTTTGTGATTTTTGTATTTCTAGATCACTCGACCTTTCGATGTTTCCATTCTCGATTTTTCGATTTTTCAGGTTTTTAATTTTTTAAATTTTCGATTTTTCCGTTTTCCGATATTTGAGTTTTGATATTTTAATTTTTCGATTTTTAATTTCTCGATTTTGAGCCATTGTGATTTCTGGATTTTTCGATTTCTCAACTTTTCGATTTCTCTGCTCATTTTTTTAATGTCTTAATTTTTCAATTTTTTATTTTTTGTTTTTTCAATTTTGGGCATTTTGACATTTCTCAGTTTTTCAATTCTTCAATTTTCCTAGATTTTTCAACTTTTCGATATTTAAATTTTGCGATTTTCCAATTTTTCTATTTTTCAATTTTTGATATCTTAACTTTCAAATTTTTCACTTTTTGGGTTTTTTAATATTTCGATTTATCAGCTTTTCATTTTTCGATTTTTTGATTTATCGAGTTTTTACGTTTCGATTTTTCAATTGTTGAGTTTCTCGAATTTTTTGGCTTTGGACTAGTTCGATTTTTCGATTTCCCGTTTGTTCAATTTTTCAGTTTTTCCATTCTTCTTTGATTTTTCAATTTTTCAATGCTTCAATTTTTTGATATTTTAGTTTGTCGATTTTAATTTTTGATTTTCCCTTTTTTATTTTTTTTCATTTTCAGTTTCTCGATTTTTCAAGCTTCGATTTTTCTATTTTTCGATATTTCAATTTTTGCGATTTTTCAGTTTTTGGATTCTTCCATTTTTTAATTTTTTTAAATTTTCGATGTTTCGATTTTCTTATTTTTCGGTTTCTCAATTTTCCTATATTTCAGTTTTGCGATTTTTCAATTTTTGACGGTTCTAAATCTTTGATTTTTCGGTTTTTCCATATTTGAGTCTTGATATTCTCGTTTTTCGAGTCTTTTAAATTTTTCGATTTTCCAGTTTTTCAATACATATTTCGGTTTTTCGATTTTTGTAAAATTTAAATTTTTCAATTTTTAATTTTTCGATTTTGAGGTATTGTGATTTCTGGATTTTTCGATTTCTCTACTTTTCATTTTTTTAATGTATTCATTTTTTAATTTTTAATTTTTCGTTTTTTCAATTTTGGGCATTTTGACATTTCTTAGTTTTTCAATTCTTCAATTTTCTTCCTAGATTTTTCAACTTTTCGATATTTAAATTGGGCGATTTTCCAATTTTTCTATTTTTCAACTTTTGATATCTTAACTTTCCAATTTTCACTTTTTGGGTTTTTAAATATTTCGATTTTTCAGCTTTTCATTTTTCGATTTCTTGATGTATCGAGTTTTTACGTTTCGATTTTTCGATTTCCCGTTTGATTTTTCAGTTTCTCGATTTTTCAAGTTTCGGTTTCTCAATTTGCCTATATTCCAGTTTTGCGATTTTTCAATTTTTGGCGGTTCTAAATCTTTGATTCTCCGGTTTTTCCATATTTGAGTTTTGATATTTTAATTTTTCGATTCTTTTAAATTTTTAATTTTCCAGTTTTTCAATAGATGTTTCGGTTTTTCGATTTTTGTAAAATTTAAATTTTTCGATTTTTAATTTCTCGATTTTGAGCCTTTGTGACTTCTGGATTTTTCGATTTCTAGACTTTTCGATTTCTCCACTTTTCATTTTTTTTTGTCTTAATTTTTCAATTTTTAATTTTTTGTTTTTTCAATTTTTGGCATTTTTCAATTCTTCAATTTTCCTAGATTTTTCAACTTTCCGATATTTAAATTTTGCGATTTTCCAATTTTTCTATTTTTCAATTTTTGATATTTTAACTTTCCAATTTTTCAGCTTCTTATTTTTCGATTTCTTGATATATCGAGTTTCTCGAATTTTTTGGTATCACAATTTTTTGATTTTGGACTACATCTTCGATTTTTCGACTTTCCGTTTGTTCGATTTTTCAGTTTTTCCATTTTTCTTTGATTTTTCAATTTTTCAGTTCCTCAACTTTTTGATATTTTAGTTTTTCGATTTTAATTTTTGATTTTTTTTTATTTTTCAGTTTCCCAATTTTTCAAGTTTAGATTTTCCAATTTTTCGATATTTCACTTTTTGAATTCTTCGATTTCTTTTTTTTCTTAATTTTCGATTATTTCAGTTTTATGATTTTTTAATTTTTGGCGGTTCTAAATTTTCCATTTTCCGGTTTTTCGAGTTTTCGAATGTTAGATTTTTAGGCTTTTCGATTCTTCGATTCAATTATATGTCAATTGATCGATTTTTAAATGTTTAATATACTAGTTTATCGATTTTTCGATTTCTCGATCTCTCGACCTTTCGATGTTTCAATTACTCGACTTTTCTTTTTCCCGATTTTTCAGTTGTTTGACTTTTTAAATTTTCAATTTTCCGATTTCCCGATTTTTCGATTTTTCGGTTTCAGTTTTCTTCGATTTTTCAATTTTTCGTTTTTTCAGTTATTCAATTTTGAGCGATTTTGATTTCTCAATTTTTCGATTTTTCGACTTCTCGACTTCAATTTCTCAATTTTTCATTTTTTTAATATTTCAATTTTTCAATTTGGGTTTTTTTGACTTTTCGACTTTTAGATTTTTCGGCTTTTCGATTTTTCGATTTTCCAATTTTTCAATGTTTCGATATTGCAATTTTTCAATTTTTCGAATTCTGGATCTCTCGACTTTTCGATGTTTCGGTTTCTCGACCTTCCGTTTTTCGATTTCAGTTTTCTTCGTTTTTTCAATTTTTCGATAATTGAGTTTTGATATTTTAATTTTTAGATTTTTTTATATTCTACAGTTTTTAGATTTTTCAATTTTTCGGTTTTTAAGTTTTTCGTTTTTTCAGTTTTTCAATTTTACGATTTATCGATTTTTGTAAAATTTAAATTTTTCTATTTTCTTTTTTTTCAATTTTTAATTTTTTTAATACTTTAATTTTTCAATTTTGGGCTATTTTGATTTTTCAAATTCTCGGTCCTTCGATTTATCAGTTTTTTGATGTTTCAGTTTTGGGATTTTTTAATTTTTTAATTGTTCAACTTTTCGATATTCGAATTTTGAGATTTTCCAATTTTTCTATTCTTCAGTTTTTGATATTTGCATTTTACGATTTTTTAAATTTCAGGTTTTCCGATTTCTCGATTTCTCGTTTTTTTGATTTTTCACTTTTTCGATTTTTCGATTTTCTAGTTTTGAGGTCTCAATTTTTCAATATTTTCGGGAGTTTTCAGTTTTTCGATTCTTCAATTTCACGATTTTCCAAATTATCAATGCTTCGATCTCTATTTTTCGATTTCTCGATTTTCCGATATTTCAAGTTTTCGATTTTTCAATTTTTGGCGGTTCCAAATTTTCGACTTTTCGAATTTTAGAGTTTTCGGCTTTTCGATTTTTCAGATGCGATCTTGATGAAACTTTTTTAAAATGTTTATTTTAATATATCATCTTATAATGAAATAAAATATTATTAAGCAAGGCGGACTCATAAACCACAAGTACAAGAGCATGGTATTTTATACAATTTGAAAAGTATTTACTGTGCAAAAAATAACGGCATCAAATTGTTTCGAAAATTATCGATAATCACTGTTCATTAGAATGAGTGAAGTGGCCTAGGAGACCCACCATATAATACTAAAATAAATTTCAAAAAAACATATTAACCGTCTCTAAAATCTCTTCTAGCCCCCGTTCTCAACCAGCCGCTTCATTTCAGCTGTGATGGTCGGCTACCTGTGGGGTCAACTCGTAATCATGGCAATCCCCGAGGACGAAATAGCCGGCTTCAACTGGAAAATCTTCCACTGGGTTATTCCATTCGCCGTGGCTCTCGGTAACAACAATCACCCATCACGAACTCTACCCAAAAACCCAACCAATTAACTTTTTAGGCGTCTGGGTGGTCGGAAACATCGGCCGAGAAACCGGCCAACTGTGGTTAACCATGGCGGCCTCCTACGGCAGCTACACCACCCGATGGTACTTCCCCGACGAGAACGTCTGGCTGACCGTGATGGTCTTCACCGCCGCGCTCACCTTCGACTCGTTCTCCAAACAGTGGAGGAGGACCCCGCGCACGCCAAAGAGCTTCGCCCGGAGAGTGACCACGTTGACTCTGTGTGCTTTGGTGTATGTGGCGTTGTGGTCGTCGTACTTTTACTTTAACGGAAAAATTACCGACTCGAATGGTGACGAGATTCCAGTGCACGAGGCTTTACATCACTTTTTCACGTCGCCGTGGTGGACGGACTTGAAGCAGTCGCTGTACGACACGTACCAGTACGCCCAGCACCACGGATGGTAGGAATTTTGACGATTTTTGGAAAATAGATTTCAGAATTGGGGGCAAGTGTGGCACGTCGTGTCGCGCTAGAATTGTCTAACTAGAACGGTGGTGGTGTTGTTTGGTCGCGACAACACCTGGGTGTCGATTTATTTCAAAAAAACTAAATTTTTGGTTTTTGATTTTTTATTTTTGTTTTCTAGGTACGAAATATGGCGCCAGATCATCGAACTATCAGACCCCCAAGGCGAACAAAACGCTTACAAGGTCCTAGGGGTGGGACCATCGTCGAGTCAGTCGGAAATCACGAGCAAATGGCGGGCCCTGAGCAGAGAATGGCACCCAGATAAAGTGAAGGATCCCGAGCAGCGCAAAGTCGCCCAGGAAAAGTTTATGGAAATCCAGCAAGCTTACGACATTTTGTCGAATATCAAAGCCAAAAGGAGGAGAAAAAATAAAAAGTCTGTCGCCAGTGATTGAACTAGCGGAGTCAATTATTGTAATATATATGAGTTTATTGTGTTAATGATCTGAGATTTTATTAAATTCAGTCTATTTAGAAATGGTTTTATTTTTGAAAATGTGCAAGACGACGTCATCGTTTTTAATATCTTTACGGTAATGACAAAGTACACTTAAAAATGAGATTAATGCTTCGCGGATTTTCTACCTCATCAATTTTCAGATTGCGTAAAGACATTAAATTAAACCTGTTGTAACAATGTTTTAAATTAATTTTTGTGGGGTACTTACGTTACAATTGTGCTACAAATTATGGATGATGTTCATAAAATACTTTATGTCTTTCCAGTGTTGCATTATTGAGTCCATGTTTATGTTTATGGCAGCTTAGTGTTATTCAAGGAGTTTTGAGCAGGCAACACGCAATACACATTTGTATAAATAATAATCTAAATGTTGAAATGGATTCTGTTAACATCAAAATTAAAAATTGAATATCGAAGAATTAAAATAATGAAAAATTTGTTGAAAGTCATTTTTTTAAAAATAGCCTTTCTATATTTTTAAAAAATACTATTGGGGTCATTCTTAAAAAAAAGACATTTGGGGATCTCGAGGAGGTTTCACATTCTAAAAAGACAATTTAAAATTTTCTAAATTTTTCCAAAAAATTTGTCAAAATGTATTCAATCAACTGGCAATTGTTGTCAAATTGTAGATAATCTTCTGTTAATTACAAATTTGAAATAGTCTTCTCGACATGTTCTCAAATAAACCTGAAAAGTGAGTAAATTATTTTCAAAATTTTTCCAAAAAAGTGATTAAAATGGGTTCGATCGTCTGGAAATTGGAGTCAAATTGTAGATAATTTTCCGCCTGTTACAAATCCGAAAACGTCGTCACGACGTTTATTCAAATAGATGTGAAAAATAAGTTTGAAAATTTCAAAATTTTTCCAAAAAATTGGTTAAAATGGGTTCAATCAACTGGAAGTTGTTGTCAAATTGTACATAATCTTGTCTTAATTACAAATCTGAAATAGCCGTCTCGACATCTGTTCAAATAAACGTGTAAATTTAGTAAATAACTTTCAAAATTTTTCCAAAAAATTGGGAAAAATGGATTCAATCAACTGGGAATTTTTGTCAGATTGTATACAATCTTCTGTTAATTACAAATTTGAAATAGCCCTCTCGACATGGTCTCAAATAAACCTGAAAAGTGAGTAAATTATTTTCGAAATTTTTCTAATAAAGTGATTAAAATGGGTTCGATCGCCTGGAAATTGGAGTCAAATTGTAGATAATTTTCCGCCTGTTACAAATCCGAAAACGTCGTCACGACGTTTATTCAAATAGACGTCAAAAATAAGTTTGAAAATTTCAAAATTTTTCCAAAGAATTGGTTAAAATGGGTTCAATCAACTGGAAGTTGTTGTCAAATTGTATATAATCTACTTTTAATTACAAATCCGAAATAGCCGTCTCGACATCTGTTCAAATAAACTTGTAAATTTAGTATATAACTTTCAAAATGTTTCCAAAAAATTAATGAAAATGGTATTAATCAACTGGGAATTTTTGTCAGATTGTACACAATCTTCTGTCAATTACAAATTTGAAATAGCCCTCTCGACATGTTCCCAAATAAACTGAAAAGTGAGTATATTATTTTCAAAATTTTTCCAAAAGAGTGATTGAAATGGATTCGACCGCCTGGAAATTGGGGTCAAATTGTAGATAATTTTCCGCCTGTTACAAATCCGAAAACGCCGTCACAACGTTTATTCAAATAGGCGTGAAAAATGAGTTTAAAATTTTCAAAATGTTTCCAAAAAATTTGTTAAAATGGGTTCAATCAGCTGGAAGTTGTTGTCAAATTGTACATAATCTTCTCTTAATTACAAATTCGAAATAGCCGTCTCGACATTTGTTCAAATAAACGTGTAAATTTAGTAAATAACTTTCAAAATTTTTCCAAAAAATTGGTGAAAATGGTATTAATCAACTGGGAATTTTTGTCAGATTGTACACAATCTTCTGTTAATTACAAATTTGAAATAGCCCTCTCGACATGTTCTCAAATAAACTGAAAAGTGAGTATATTATTTTCAAAATTTTTCCAGTAAAGTGATAAAAATGGGTTCGATCGCCTGGAAATTGGAGTCAAATTGTAGATAATTTTCCGCCTGTTACAAATCCGAAAACGCCGTCACGACGTTTATTCAAATAGGCGTGAAAAATGAGTTTAAAATTTTCAAAATTTTTCCAAAAAATTTGTTAAAATGGGTTCAATCAGCTGGAAGTTGTTGTCAAAATGTGCATAATTTTCTCTTAATTACAAATCTGAACATTTTATAGCTCTAAAATATGAAACAGTAGCCTTTCTACATTTTTAAAAAATCACAGTTGGAACTCCGAGAAGGTTTCACATTCTAAAAAAAATGACTCCTCTGAGAAGGTTTTACATTTTAAAGAAATAATATTGGGATTCCCGAGGAGGTTTCACATTCTTAAAAAATACATGTGGGGCCCCCGAGAAGGTTCTACATTTTTAAAAAATGACTCCTCTGAGAAGGTTTTACATTTAAAAAAAATACTATTGGGACTCCCGAGGAGGTTTCACATTCTTAAAAAATATATTTTGGGCCCCCGAGAAGGTTCTACATTTTTAAAAAAGACAGTTGGGCTTCTGAGGTTTCACATTCTTAAAAAAGAAGATATTTGGGGCCCTCGAGGAGGTTTCACATTCCAAAAAAAGACAATTTAAAATTTAAAATTTTCAAAATTTTCCCAAAAAATTTGTTAAAATGTATTCAATCAACTGGGAATTGTTATCAAATTCTAGATAATCTTCTGTTAATTACAAATTTGAAATAGCCGTCTCGACATCTCAAATAAACCTGAAAAGTGAGTATATTATTTTCTAAATTTTTCCAAAAAAGTAATTAATTGCCTGGAAATTGGAGTCAAATTGTAGATAATCTTCCGCCAGGTACAAATCCGAAAACGCCGTTACGACATTTATTCAAACAGACGTGAAAAGTGTATTTAAAATTTTCAAAATTTTTCCGAAAAATTGATTAAAATGGTTTCAGTCAAATGAGAATTGTTGTCAAAATGTGCATAATTTTCTCTTAATTACAAATCTGAACGCTTCATAGCTCTAAAACATGAAAAAGTGGCCTTTCTACATTTTTAAAAAACATAGTTGGGACCCCCGAGAAGGTTTCACAAAAAAAAATGGCTCATGTGAGAAGGTTTTACATTTTTAAAATATACTATTTGGACCCCCGACAAGGTTTCACATTCTTAAAAAAATACATTTGGGCCCCCCCCAGAAGGTTTTACATTTAAAAAAAAAACCAGTTGCACCTCTGAGGTTTCAAATTCTTTAAAAAAATATTTGGGACCCTCGAGGAGGTTTCACATTCTAAAAAAGACAAATTTAAAATTTTCAAAATTTTTACAAAAAATTTGTTAAAATGTATTCAGTCAACTTGTAATTGTTGTCAAATTATAGATAATCTTCTGTTAATTACGAGATTGAAATAGCCGTCGCGACATCTTCTCAAATAAACCTGAACAGTGAGTATATTATTTTCAAAATTTTTCCAAAAAAGTGATTAAAATGGGCTCGATCGCCTGGGAATTGGAGTCAAATTGTAGATAATCTTCCGCCAGGTGGAAATCCGAAAACGCTGTTACGACATTTATTCAAATAGACGAGAAAAGTGTATTTAAAATTTTCAAAATTTTTCCGAAAAAATTTTTAAAATGGGTTCAATCAACTGGGAGTTGTTGTCAAATTGTACACAATCTTGTCTTAATTTCAAATTCGAAATAACCGTCTCGACATCTGTTCAAATAAATGTGTAAAGTTGGTATATAATTTTCAAAATTTTTCCAAAAAATTGGTGAAAATGGATTTAATCAACTGGGAATTTTTGCCAGATTGTACACATCTTTTGTTAATTACAAATCTGAAATAACCGTCTTAATATATGTTCAAATAAACGTGAAAATTGAGTATACAACTTTCCAAATTTTTCTAAACAATTGGTTAAAATGGGTTCAATCGACTGGAAATTGGAATCAAATTGTAGAGAATGTTCCACTAAATACAAATCCGAAAACGCAGTCACGACGTTTATTCAAATAGACGTGAAAAATGAGTTTAAAATTTTCAAAATTTTTCCGAAAAATTGGTTAAAGTGATTTCAATCAAATGGGAATTGTTGTCAAAATGTGCATAATTTTCTCTTAATTACAATTCTGAACGTTTCATAGCTCTAAAATATGAAAAAGTAGTCTTTCTACATTTTTAAAACACAGTTGGGACCACCGAGAAGGTTTCACATTAAAAAAAATTGGCTCCTCTGAGAAGGTTTTACATTTTTAAAAAATACTAGTGGGACCCCTGAGAAGGTTTCACATTCTTAAAAAAATACATTTGGGTCTCCGAGAAGATTTCAAATTAAAAAAAAAACATTTGGGACCCTCGAGGTTTTAAATTTTTTAAAAAAGGAGTTGGGACTTCCGGGAAGGTTTCACTTTCTTAAAAACGACATTTGGGGCCCCCGAGAAGGTTTTACATTTTTAATTAGGATGGTTGGGATCTCTGAGGTTTTCACATTCCTAAAAAAAAGACAATTTAAAATTTTCAAAATTTTTCCAAAAAATTTGTTAAAATGTATTTAATCAACTGGGTTGTTGTCAAATTGTAGATATTCTTCTGTTAATTACAAATTTGAAATAGCCGTCTCGACATCTTCGCAAATAAACCTGAAAAGTGAGTAAATTATTTTCAAAATTTTTCCAAAAAGTGATTAAAATGGTTTCAGTGGTCTGGAAATTGAAGTCAAATTGTAGGTAGAAAATGTTCCGCCTGTTACAAATTCGAAAACGTCGTCACGACCTTTATTCAAATAGACATGAAAAATGAGTTTAAAATTTTCAAAATTTTCCCAAAAAATTGGTTAAAATGCGTTCAATCAACTGGGGATTGTTGTCAAGTTGTACATAATCTTCTGTTAATTGCAAATCCGAAATAGCCGTTTAGATTTCTTTTTAAATAAACGTGAAAAGTGAGTTCAGAAATT